ATCAATTTAGTCGACACGCACTTTTTTTAGATTATAGAGTATTTCATTGTCATCCTTCGCTCGCGTTGCCTTCTTTTTCGTGTGCTCTCAATCATAACTATGACTACAATACAATAGTTTAAGGATTTTTCCGTTAGTAAGAAAGTCTGATAGTTGAGATTAAAACTTACATATAATATACATTTTGATGAAAAAAATAAAATGTGAATTTGATAAAATAAATCAAATACTTACAAATATAGAGACCAAGTAAAAAAAGAAGTGGAATAAGTAACCACCATGGTAAACTAAAGAGATGATCCCATAGAAAATTGAATAATTTAATTGGCATATAAAGAATATTTTTAACAAAATGAATTAATGTATTATCTTCATGTTCATCTATTTTTTCATCTTTGGTTCCTTTTTTTTCATGATATTCTTGTTCTTCTTCTTCTTCTTCTTGTTCATCTTGACTTTTACGTTCTTTTCGTTGTTTATTTGTTGTTTTACGTTGTTGTATATCTTCATTTTCATTATCACGTGGTGTTGAATGAATTGGTGGACGTCGACGAAGATAATAACCTGTTGTTTGACCATTTGTTGATGATTGAGATGATGTACGAGAAACTCTTGTACTACGATGAGATGTTGGTGAATGTAAAAGTGCTTCTGTTCCTTGTTCTTGTTCTTGATGTTGTTGTTGTTGTTGTTCGTGTGTACTATGATGTGTTAAACGATCACGAATAGCTGAATATCCATTAGCTAATTGTGAACGAACATTTGAAATAAATCGTGTCGGTGATGAAAATACTGAATTTGTTGATGAAAAACTTGATGATCCATATGTACGATAATCACCATGTAAATCACGACGAGCCATTACTGGAACATCACATGTACCATTTTGCGACACAGGCATATAGGAAACACTAGAATTAAATAAAACAAAAAAATTCATTTCAATATCGATGAGATTTTTAAGGTATGGATATATCATATAGGTCGGTGGAACTAATAATATGTAAAGCAAAGGATAGTACCGTATTTTCAGATCAGTGCAATATGTCATGGTAACAAATTCCGACGAGAAGTTTCGGTCTGATATCATCCCTAACAATAGCACATGCCAATTTATTCAGGCGTAGGATATTGCAACGAAAATTTGTCTATTTCCGCTGAACGTTTAGGAAAAGCACCATAACACGGATCGTTTCAAGATTTTCATCTACACTATCAGTCCTGCCTATGAACTCAGATAGAGATTATGACTCGGTCGGATTCCCTCGTAACAAAAACTTAAAAGGAATCACTCCTATAGCCTAATAACAAACAAGTATGACTGTTTTTAACCAATTATTTGCTGAAACCAGGAGCTTTCCGAAAACAGACTTTTGAATTTTTATGTGGATGTGATGATTGTACTCTACTATACTTTTCAAGACAATCGAAATATCAGTTCGAAAACTACTTGTTCTTATTGAAATGGTCAGAACTACTAATTAATAGACTATGACATCGAACGTCTAACAATTATTATTCATTTCGAAAAAAAAAGTAATAGCCTTCATGGTATTATTGAATAACTTTTGACAAGAACATGATAGAGACTTGCAGTTTTCACCATCAAGAGAGACGATCAAGGACTTTTGCAACTCAATCGGGTAACAATTCACCAATCAGATGAGTTAGTTGCAGAGATTTGCAATATAATGTTCTGAAGGTATTTCTTTTTCAATCTATGCGAAGTTGAAATTGCTCACTTTTACCTGAGATCCTTAATTTCAACCCATTGACCTGCAGTTATTCGGAAAAGAAGATAATAAATAGTACTAAATCAAATCATGACATTTACTATTAAGTTCGAACTAATCTACACTCTGTTATCTCAATATTTTCGAATTATCGACTCTTTGGTACATGAATGCTGATTGAAGTTTTTAAGAAATGTTAAGATAAGAGTGTCTGATTACTTCAAACTCGAAAATAAATATCATCATGATAAATCCCTCCTGTCTCACTGTTATTTCAATTGATCAGAGATCTATTCGTGAGAATTGAAACTGCGAAAAATTCTATAATTCTTGAATGAAACAACCTAGGAATATATATGTTGAGAATATCGTTTTTCAAAAATCTATACGAAAAACTAACCTGATGAGTTACAATGTAATTCAATAGGTCTTGTTCTTTTCCCTCGAATAATAAAAATCGCAAGTCTCTATGATGTTCCTATCAAAAGTTGTTCAAACAGAAATGAAAGACATTTTATTCTCTTGTCAGTCAACAAAACATTTAACTATACAACTATGTTCAAAAATTTTATTTTCTATGCTTTTATATCCATATCGATAGAAGGTTATTTGTTATGATTTTAAATTACACCTTTGAACAGTTAGTCTTTTTTTTCTTTCTGAATTCAATCCTATCACCTGTATTTTAATGGTATTTTATTGCTGAAGGTCAAAGTATTATGAAACATATTTCTTATGATTCTTCACGATACCACTTTATATTGAAGAAAAAAAAAATAACAAGGACACACTCATAATATCAAACCGCTTCCAGCAATGTACTATTAAACTTCATATTAAAACAAAAAAGAAACGAATGTTCATTCAAGTTTTTTATTGGTCTCCATCTCAAACAAAAATAACTCATATCATTATATGAAGTGCTACACATCCTACTGTGTGAAAGAATTCGATTTTTTTTCACATAAAAATATATTATTATTACAAAGAGAAGAATTCCCTATTGTAAAAGCATCAAACAGTTATTGTCGTAATAGTTCAACGCAACTGTATAATGATAAGAATAATCAACAAACTATATAAAACTCATATCTATTTTCACATTACATAACAGATGATATACCAAATAAAAAAAAAATTGATTTTTTTATATTACCCTAATTTCAGAGACCTTTCAACTGCTGTAGTACACATAACTTTACCTCTGAGGATATCATATAACAATAGGTCTGTTTACTTATTTTCAAGTATCACCTTTTTTTTCTATCTGAATAATAATTCAAATGAACTCATTCGTTATAAACAAATAAAATCGACCCTCAAAGTAAATTTTATAAATGATAATTTATATTCAAAGTGGATAAATAGATTGATCTGTTCGACAGATTTTTTTTCTTTTCTTTGAAACTAAAACACTAACCTGTGAGCATAAGTATAAGTTGTCGGCGGACGTCCACTAAAACAAAAAAAATCATTGCAAAATAAAATCTTTTGTTTTTTTTTTTAACTAATTAAAATAATTACTCTGTAGGTGATTTTGTATTTTCAAGTATATCATAAACACTTCTACTTCCTGTCGTTGATCCTACATGTCGTTTTGTAATTGTATCTGTACGTACTTCAGTTTCAATAAACATAGGTCGACGAGTTGTTGTTACTGACGAACTTGAACCTGATGTTGTTGGTTTTGTTGTTTCAATAATATCATCATCAATAATTATATCTGTCATAATTTTATTATTATTCTAACAAGTATAGAAAACAGATCTGCAATAAAACGAAAAAGAAAGAAACAAAGATAAATTTCTCCTGTTTATCGTGACCTATGAAACAAAAATGAACACTATACGAACAAAGTTCGACCGATTCGATCATGTCGTTAATATAGAGAAGCAGACGGAGAGAGAAGAACGCCAAAAGAAAAAGAAAAGAAAAAGAAAAGTCTCTTGCATGTATGATTAATATTAAAAAGACGAAGATGAGATAAAACGATCATTTAATATATCAAGTAAAGTTAAAATAATTCTTGATATTGATGAAAAATATTTTATCCATATATTATAACATTCTTGTTGCATTTTTATTCGTTGTTTTATATTAATATTTTTTAAATAATATGGTAATATACTTAATGATGAATTTAAATAAATAATAATTATATTAGACCAATTAATTATTTCACTAAACGGAAGTATTAATAATTCATTATTATTTGTTGTTATAACAGGTATACAACCATATTGTAATGATTCAAGAAAACGATATGTATATAAACGACGTCCACTTGGTACAAGACAAAAATATGATTGTTGAAAAAGTTCTATATATTCATATTGATCATATGAATTATTATTATTAGTATATTTTATAATTATATCATAATTATTATTTAGATGATGAAAAAATGTACGATGATGTTGAACATCTTCATAACTTTTACCTTTAAATGAAAGAAGAATTTTACGTGATTTAAAAGAAAAATTTTTTGTCAAATTTGATGAATAATTAGTATGAAATAATGGAAATGTTATATGTGATGAACAATTATAATTTGTATAAGTAAAACTAGTTGAAGCAAGAATATATTTTGATGGTAAATTAAAATCTAGTGTACGTTGATAAGATGGCCAAGTTCCTAGAAGAAAATTTATTGTGGATAGTTTTTGTTTTTGGAAATAAATAGTTTCGTAATACTATTTTCATAAAATGAAAGATAAAGAAGGAGAAAAAAAAAGCCAAGAGAACTACCTGTATAATGATTAAATATCAAATGAATTTTATTTGGATCTGACCATTCATGAAAAAATTTTAAATGTTGTTCAATAAAATATGTATAATAACCATTTTTTGATCGACGATCTCGATCAATTGTATCAACAGGCGCTATATGTACACAAGCTAAACTTGAATTATTTGTATAATAAGATGAATTTCGAATAATATCAAGTATAGTTAAAAAAATTGGTGAACGTATATAAGATACATTCGGATATTGAATATTTTTATCAATATGAATAGAAAAATGTGTAATATTACGTGGACATATTAATTTTTTTGTACAATTTAATATTGTATTTGAATTATAAAATGAAGGTAATAAAATAGATTTCTCAATTGATGATGTATTAGAAAAAAGTTGAAAAATAAATACAAATTGTATAAAACATACAAGAATACAAAGAATCATAAGAAAAATATAACGTTGAGACGTAGTAAAAAAAAATATAGAAATCATTAATATAATATTTTTATCTATATCATTAATTATCTATTAATTAACCACAGAAAAATGACAGAAAGAAAATATAGATATAAACCAATTCCTATGATGCATTTTGTCCTCTATGATTTTAATATATTAATGCAAATAGGAATTTTTAGATTTTTTTACGGATAACTAGTGACCTCAATCAAGTTAAAAAAAAAAAGTATTATATTTTTTATTTTTGTTTTGTAAAATAAAAATAATCTTTTCTAATATGAATAAAAAAATTTAATATGTTTGATAATATAAAGTATTATTATTTTTTTTTTGTGTGTCAAGTATCGACTTATTCTTCGTACTTGTTTTTTTTCTTTTTTTTTTTTTTGTATCAAAGCGTGTTGAGTCATTCATTCATTCATTCATATGAAAAAATAATCTTAACTGTCAATTGTATAAATTATTTAAATAAAATATTATTAAAAGAATAAAAATAAAAATAAAAGAAAGAAACGAAAATTTTGTTTTATTTTTGTATTATTATGGTTTCAAAAGTAGAAGGTCGTCGTTTGGTAAGTAAAAATCTTTCAATCATATATATATATATATAAAATAAGAATAGAATATATTGGTGAATGAAAATTAAAATAGAATTAATTCGTTTATTTCGATTGGAGAAAAATAGACCATTTAGAATAAAGAAATCAATTGAAATTTAATAAAAATCTTTTAAAGAGATTATTGAATTTATTTATATTTAATTTAATAATTCATAAAAGAACTACGGAATAATATTATTACTAAATAATAAAAATTAGTATTATTTTATACTGAAATAATATTCATTTCAGTTGATGGAATTTAACATAAATGAATGAATAATATATATATATTAGAAGCGTCAAGTCAACAAATAATAACAACGAAATTTATAGAAAATCTTTTAATCACACAATAGATGATTTAAAGTCGTTGATTGTGTCTTATTTACTTTCATAGTTTGTAACATAAAAGAAATATTTAGTTGAAAAACCTTGACAACTCATGTTTGTACTAGATAGATAAAAACATTGTTCTATTTCGATATAGTTTTAATAAAAAAAATCAAAAAATTCGTTTAAAATCAACAGAAATCTGTATATATGTATATGTCTAAATAGAAACGCAATTATGTTTGCTAAATATTGACACATGATGAGATAATCATCTAAATCATGTCTTGAACTATAAATCTGAAACATATGTCAGAATGAAAATTACGTTGATATAAAACACCATTTTCAGGCATTTTTTTTTGGAGATGATGAGATTTTAAAATAGTTTTATCTGATAGGAGCGTCAAACAAAATGACGTCTGAAGTTTTGAATTTATACTCATCACAGTTTAATTCTGGTGTGCACATTAATCACATTTCGATGTAAATATACTTATAAAAATGTTTATAATTCGCAAGTAGAGATCTGCAAACTGGGCTCGGTCCCATTCCTGTTGGGACTAACTTTTAATTTTTTCGGGACCGAGACTTAAAACTGGTCCTGTGATGTTTTCTCTATACTTATTATTCTGTTCTGACTAATAATAATCTATAAATAGACCCTTTTTATTAATGATTCAGATAAAATTATGAATGTGTAAAATCACTTTTTTCGATCCTAAACGGAAACCATCGTAGAGGTTCCTATTAAAAACAAATACTTATAGTTCTACAGATCCTAAATATTGATATTATCAAAAAGACTTCTTAAATCAACATTGATCGAAACTTACTCATTTAGATTTTGTATCTATGCAAGAACTATGAGCTCTGAGAGAATTTTCTAAGGCACATGGACAGGATCAAGGAAAAACTTGATGCAAGCAAAAAAAAAGTGGTATTATACTTTTTTAGTTTTGATATATGCATAAAAAGTTATTCTTCTACTGTTGATTTCTCAAAACCATCAACATTCATTTTATATGAATTCAAAGAATCATACAGATTATTGGAGAGGTCGTTTTTTTTCTAGAAAAGAAATTAGGATCAGAAACAATAGAATGTTTTTACTAAAAATGGGACCGAGACCAAAACAAGGTAGTCCCACCGATGTCTACTTTTGAAAGACTAATTGAGCAAGGAGATCTTCTATTATATAGTGTGTAATGCCAAAAACCTATAAGTTGCTATTAGCAAATTATAAAATTTGCTTGAAATTCGATATTTATCTTGCAAATAATGATAAATAGACAAGATAATTGATTTTAAATTGTTTGTTTTTGTTTTTAGCGTACACAACTTAGGAAGAATTACGTGGACGATGATGATTTCTTTGAAGAAGTATTTGAAAAAGTACAAAGATGGCAGATTGAAGAGAAATTAACTGCTTCAGATAGTTATCAAGGAAAATTTGTTGAAGAACTTACAGCTGACGGTTTGTATTTAAGAAAAATTTTGATATATATTTTATAGAATTAGTTCTGTTATTGAAGTAGTTTTGCTTTTTTGAATTGTAATTTATTGACTATTGAATATTTGAAATTAACTATGATGTACAATATTGTATTGATGAAGAATTTACAAGTCAGTTTTTGTTTTTATTTTGTAATTTCAATAAAAATCTTTAGTTATTCTAAGCATTGGAATTTTTTGACTATTTCAATAACTGTTTGAATATTTGAAACAATAGACATACATTTGATTCAATAGTAGATTAAGTATTTCTTTATGTGTAGATCTTTTTATGGTTTGTCCTGTTTGAGTCACATGAGACTTGCCAGTATTTTTTAATAAAGAAAGGATTAAAAATGATTCTGAATAGAATAATAAATATAAAAATTTGATCTTAATATCACAAAAAGACTGCCCTGAAATGATCTTTAAAATTAGAAGTCCTACCCTAAATTTCGATAGATTAATATAGGTTTTGTATGCACTCGAGAATTATAAATTCTAAGAGAATTTTCCCAGCTACATTAACATTCTGTCTGACAATATACAGTCTTAACCGATCCTACTCTTCCTGGATATCCTATCTATAAGATATATTTTTACTTGAGTACATTTGCTCAAATATACTGCTTTCTATAGCTCATTAAACGTCCCGATATATAGTGTGTAATTAAGATTTCGGCAGTCGAGACGGGTAATCTTAACATGACTGGGCTTCAGTATTTATCTGAATTTTCTTTTCTCGAAATGTTGGTTTAAAGCTCTGAGAAGATGAACACCTATTTTGGAAGCATAGACACATAGGATGTAGTATAATAATGATGAAATCTGGAAGAAACAACTCGATATTCAAATAAGCGCTGCTCTCATGGCGGATACAACATTGATAGGATGGTTTACACTCCCCCTGGCTTTTCCGGTTATGCCACAGCTAATATACCATTTATTTAGGAGATTAATTCGTAGAAGATGCTGCTCAAAACTAATTGAATATGAAGGTTTCGCGGACAAGGCTTAAGCAAAAGACGATTATACAAAAGTTTGTTTCTAAACTATCAGAACCAGGATTGAGCAGAGAAAATTTTGGACATCTGTATTTTTTTCTTGTTCGCCTAAATTATTATATCCGAATACAATCCTAGTTTCATTTTATAGGTTTTAATATATCTTTTTCATTTATAAATCTAGAATTCAATTTATCCTATATTCAACGTACCGGTTTTCCAAATCCAATTATTATAAAACAACATCGAGGCTTAGGTCTTCGAGTTCCAACATCTAATTTTACAATTCATGATGTTCGTGCATGTATTGGTTCTCAACGTATAATCGATGTTGTTCATGTTGATACTCAAGAATCATCACAAATGACAATGAAATCATGGACAGATTATTATGATCAACCACCAGAAAAACGTTCTCAATTATTAAATGTTATTTCACTTGAATTTAGTCATACAAAACTTGAAAAATATGTTGAATCTCCATCACTTGTTAGTCAATTATTTAATATGAAATTTTTCTATGAAAATAAATTTTCTTTTTTTCTGTCAGGTACGTGAAATTGATTGGGTATCAAATGCATGGCCTCAATATTGGCAAAATCTTCAAGCTCAATATCAAAATAATCTCAAACAAGAACATATGTATTATCCAAAAACTCGAAAGTAAAATATGAAAAAAAATTTTTTTTTTTATAAACAAAACTAAAGAAATATGATGAGGTCAATAATTGATGAAATCGATCTTCTCAAAAATTTTGATTTCTTTTGTATCAAACTCTCACATGAAGTGTCCGAATGGAATATCTTGGATACTTAGTTCTATAGAAACTTTTTTGTATTCTGTGTAAGTCGGTTGAAATATCTAATGAGTGTGAAATGTGACAATAATTAATCTTTTTTTTTTATCGATCAATTTGATGATCAGTAAGAGCAGTTTTCATTGCTGCAAAATGACATTGTAATTATTAAAGGAAACCGTTAGTTCTTAAGAAGGATTCGAAGAATGTCATTCTCGAGACATGGTTTTACACCTTTTTTCACGGATATTTAGTAGATTTCGATAACAAAAAAGTGCAACTTGAGTGAAACTTATACAATATTCTGAATCACTGTTCAAAACTGAATAGATTTATATGAGTTTTTTGTATTTTCATAAAAGTTTTTTTCTTATCGAAAAATTTATCCTAGTCACCCTCAAAGATGAGTCAAAAAATGAATTCCATCATATTACAGATTTTATTGTTTAATCATCTACGATCCTGTGTTCTATATATCACTGTACAACCCTAAAACTTGTTTCCGACTGTTGAAATAGTCTTTCAATAAGAAAAAGTGATCATGAAAATACTCAAAACTCATACAGATTTACTCAGTTTTGAATGTTGATTGAGAATACCATAATAATTTCACTCAGATCACACTTTTTCTCGTCAAAATCTACTAAATTCCTGTGAAAAAATGCATATAATCATCTCTCAAGAATAGTATTCTTAGAGTTTTTTGATTAGAATCAATATTTTTATACTATTATGTAGCACCTGGATCATCAGACTTAGGCTCAGCTTAAATAAGTGCTCCAAAGCTAACTTCACTAGAAATTACTGTCAGACATCTCGTATAAGACTGTAATATAGAAGAAACTTAACTTTTAAAGATGCTGATTTCATCAATTATTGATCCTTTTCATTTTATTTTTATATTTTTAGATATGTTCTTATGTCAGTTGCAAAATGTTTTACTGATTTTCATATTGATATGGGTAATAATCAAAATTAATTATTTTAAATTTAATCTATTTTATTTTTATTAAGGTGGATCATCTGTTTGGTATCATTTATTAAAAGGAAAGAAAGTATTTTGGTTATTACCACCAACTGAATCTCATTTACGTTTATATGAAGAATGGAATTTATCTGGACAACAAAATGAATGTTTTTTTGCTGATTTATGTAATTCAAATGATTGTCAAATGATAATTCTTGAACCTGGTTGGACATTTTTTTTACCATCAGGTTGGATTCATGCTGTATATACAATGGAAGATTCTCTTGTTTTTGGTGGAAATTTTTTAAATTCTTTTAAAATTCCAATGCAAATACAAGTTTGGATGATTGAAAGAAAAGTTCGAGTACCTGATCGATTTCGATATCCATATTTTATTGAAAGTATGTGGTATATTATTCAACGTTATGTACATAGTCTAACTGGTATTACACATATTGCTGATGATTGGTAAGATTTATATGATTATATATCATTATTTATCTAGAGACAAAAATATTCGATAATATCATTAGTAATAATAAAAAAAAATAATCTTGATCGCGCAGGCGTTTTTGAAACTAAAATGTGAAATTCACATATGATCTTTAGCTTCATTATACTACACAGCATGTCTCAACACATTATTTTATACCTCGATAGGTTCAGAAATGTTGATATTGATTATTTTTTAAAGTTATAACTTCATGAGTTCATAATTTTTATGTTAATTGTATGACATATTAATGTATCACTATCTATTATCCTTGACATCTGAAATATAAACTTTAATCTTCGCCAAAAAGCAAGAATTGCACTATTTAGAACACTCACTGATGTATTCTAGCCGTTCCAATTTCGAAGAAGGATTTGAAATCTTCTAGAACAATCTAATGTTTTTTTTTGTTAATACTATTCAGTGTCTTTTTCCGTTGTTAGAAAATCCTGGAAAAAGAGTTTGATGCCTGTGGGCGTTGCTCCTCTCCCCCTTTCAATCCGTAAATCTCGATATAAAAGTTACACTCACTGTATTTTTTGAAAACTCATTCAAAACTCATTGTGAACAAAAACCAATGGATTCTTATTTGTCGACATCTAGTAAAGCTGGTTCATTTATACAAAATGAGATGTTAAGTAGTCATATAATCGATATAATAAAACGAGTAGAAAATATCATAGAACTTTTTGATACTAGTGTAATATGTTTAACAAATATCATTGATTTTGTAGCAAATATGTTTTGTGTTAATCGAGAAATGATCTTATTCAATTGATCAACTATTGGCAATATTTGAAGTTGAAAACCTTCAGTTTAGCTATTACTAAACTTGAGTCATTCATAATAAAAATATTTTTTTAAAGTTAAATCAGTTTTTTCTTCTATGATTATTTAGCCTATTCAATTCTTATACTTAGGGATGTACAGTGTATTAGTGAAATACTGAAAAGTGATTGATCTATACAGGATCTATTCGAAGGTACTGATTACATTGGCTTCAGTATTCACTGTAAGAATGAGATACTTCAGGATGCATTAAGTATACTGACTTGATGGTCAGTAAATAATAAATGACTTTTCAAGTAATTTACTGATTTTTATAATGGTTTCACTTACTGAACACCTAAACGAAAGTCACTTAGTTGTAGTCAATTAATCAATTGAAATTCTTATGTAAAAATTTAGATCTCCAATTTCAAATAAGATTTCTACAGCAGACATTATGTATTTAATGTGAAAATAAATTGTATCTAAACACTGTTCAATAGAATATATGATCATTGCACATATCGAATCTATACCAACTCATAGAAGATCCTAATCGATTTCACCTGTGCTTCAATCTCATACTATTTATCTGATAGATAAATCTTTCGTATTCGTCGTTTTTCCGATTTTTTTTCTTTACTAATCATATTTATCCTTCAGTTCAAATGTACATCTTTGAAGAGTATTATTAACTTATGCTGATACCCTAAATATTTCCCAGCAAATTAAAGCCACTCAGGGGCGGCACTACCGAGGAGTGGATAGGGGATCATCCCCTCATGCTCCAGAAAATTTTGGCTGGTACTTTCTCCGATTTCGGGGAACTTACTACGATAATTTCTCCGATTTTGGGAAATTTACAAAGCAATTTTCTTCAATTTTGGAGAAATATACTTGATAGTTTTCTCTAAATTTGGAGAAAATTCAAGGTTGGAGGGCATTTTTAGGCGATTTTCTTCGATTTTGGAGAAACTTGTATAATATATTTCTCCAAAATCGGAGAAAATCGCCCAAAAATGTTCTCCAAACTAGAATTTTCTGCGAATTTATACAATAGTGTTGAATATATTTCTATGAATCCGGAAAAATCCAATTTTGGACAAAAATGAGTAGACGATTTTCTCCGATTTTGGCGAAGTATATTATAAAATTCTGATTCGGAGAAAATTTCAGTTTAGAGAACACTTTTTGACTTTCTCCGGTTTTGGAACTGACCCCTCCCCCTGCTCCAATCTCTTCGCGCCGCCCCTGAAAGTATCAAATCAACTATGTCCACATCAAGACACTCACGAACCAAAATGATCCATACATATTGCCTACTATGAAGAAGTTATGATCATTTTAATCAAATTATTATTCATAGTAACTCGTTTCTGAAACAATGAGTGTTAAGAGTTGAAATCATGTGTATACATACGTTTTGATAGTCCTGAAAGTTTCTATGAAAACGTACATGCCTTTCTCGAAATCTTCAATTACCAAGGAAACCTGATTTCTATGTTTTCCTATGACAAATCGCTGTATTTTCTCAATATTGAATATCTCGAGAAAAACATGTTCTTTTTCGTTGAAACTTTCAATGTCATTAAAAGGGCAATATACGGAAATCTTTTACCACTTTTTTAAAGTCTCTTTGTGTCACATACCTAACGTCTAGAAACAGTTAGTGTCTATTTCTTGACTCTAATAAATTTCATATTTGAATTATTTTTTGTAAGAACATTTTGCGAGAACAGTAATTTATATATGAGATTTATTGATGTCAAAACAATAGATGATAACCGTTTCTGAATATTAATATGTATAAAATCGATGAGATATGCTTTCATGTACAGTAGATATTAGTAATATTAATAAAACCTATCGTTGAGGAACTATACGTCCGTTTCTTTTTTACAATTGGTGATTAGAGTTCTTTATTTTCTTCTTTCTTCTTAGTTGAATCGTTATAAATTAGCTATTGAAAATAGAACTAAAGCATTTAAATATTCGATGGAAAATACCTGTAAATAATAATGATGTGTTAAATTGTTCCATAATTACTATAAAATTGCTCAAGGAAAAAAATTTCTTCCCTTTTGTCAACAATGATTATGCCATAAATAAAAAGAAATATATTCGTTAGATTCTATTTGATTCAAATTAAAGACAATAGCAACATTAAAAAAAATGTATCATTTATCAATCACAATATCTCATTGATTTTAATCATGAGAACGAGACGTACTTTGAAATCTATTTGACACTGTATTGACTCATTTTTGGACGTCTTCTACTTATAACAATTGAAAAAAGTTTCGGAAGGAAGGGTTGATCGCCTCGAGATCCTCCTTTAAATCTGCCGCTGCCTTTATATATGTTGTTCTGCAATAAAAACTTCATAGTCGTCCTGTAATTGACTGCCATATAATAATTTTGTTATACTTGAGTTTATTTGGTTTTTAACGAGGATAATGAAAATAATATTCGAAGACATTTTGTTTAAATCAAGAAGAACAAAGAACTTTTTTTTAAATAAAATTTGTTAACTTAGAATTAATATTGTTAATAATTAAGATTCAATCAATCTAGATTTTAAACTATTTTTTAACTTATAGGATTATATAGGAACTGAATATTTCTAATAGTATCACCTGCTAACATAATACTTCCTAATAAACTAAGAAAAATAGAATATTGTAGAACATCAAGAACTTTGAAATCTATATAAAGTTTTTATCATATTATGAAGTAAATTAGCTACAATTTATCATGTCAAAAGACTATCAATGCAATGCTTATAATTAGCAAGAGAATTTCTTTTCTTGTTTTTCTAAAGGATGTAAGTTTTTCAACATTCTGCGCTTTTTTTAGTTTTTTTTAAAGTAGATTTCCGGAATATATAACTTTGAAAGTAGAAGGTCTCCATAGTAAAAACCAAGCAAATAATTATTATTCACTGAACAAAAACATCATATTTTAATGCAAAAAAATTCCGACAAAAGTAAAATATTCCTAAATATTTGATCAATTATGAAAGTATAATTGTCTTGATTGATAAAATAATCCAGAGACAGATATTTTGATTGAAACATATGTAAACATTATTGACATTATCAAATAATTTTTCTATATAATTATTATAAACGAGTGTTTCTTTCTTTTTTTTTTTGATAATCTTTCATTTAGTTTGGAATATGCACAAAAGCAACAAGAAACAGATGGAATAAAATCAACAACACCAATCAATTCTTCAGGTAAAAATAAAAAAGCTACAATCTATTCATATAAATTTGTAAGAAAAATTAAGAAGATGGGTTTCTTTTTTTCTTTCTTTTCCTTGTTTCATAGCGGTATATATGATTGATTTTAAATTTGTTCGTTTCATTCAATTTATTAAGTAATATTATCAATAGATAAAAACATCAAACAATTGTAATAACATCAATTACCTCCGCTCCTCTTATGTGCATTTTAGTTTGACGTTTTTCTCTATTCTATGCACACATACGTTTATAAGATGATGTTGTTAGTAGGCCTTTTAACGCTGTATCGATTATTGATGTAGAACAGATTTATTTTTTTGATTTAGTCATAGAATGAGTGGGTGCGAACGAGAATTACTTATTCCAAGTACTTGATCGTTCGATCGTCGTCATCAACACTTTGATCTGTCTTGTATATATGCATATATAACTTATGAAAATGTTGCTTAATCGTTAAAAAAATCAAACATGTTAATTTGAAGACTACAATCCGAGATAATCGAATTAGTAATATTTTGTTCTATCGTCAATTAAGCTAGAAAGTTTATTTTTAACATTGTTCAAACAATAAAATAAAAAAGACATAAAAGTGCATATATATATAGATTTGCTTCTTTTTTCTTTTTATATTTTATTTTATTTTAACGAACACAATTGTATATTGTGAATAAAAGTTAATCGGAAAGTATTGTTGTTCTTATTGACGAGAAGCAAGAGAAAAAAAAAGAGAGCGAGAGAGAGAGAGAGAGAATAAAGAAAAGTTTTGACCTAAATTAGCATTGCTTTGATTTCCACAACATTTCCTTTACTAATTTTTCCGGTATTTGATCTTTTTTACAAAATGCATACAAGCGAAAAAGTAAATATGAATAATAATAACAATCATAGAAAATAGATTTTTGAACTAAATTTTATACAGAAAAAAAAAATTAGACATTAGCTTGATATAAGTGAATTAGAAATGAAATTGTCTTTTTGCATAATCAATGGATGTATATGGAAATAGAAAAAAAAAAAAAAAAGAGAAACTGAATTTTCTCTTGAACTACGCTCTCTTATTCATCATCGGTTGTCGTTCATCGATTTCGTCAAGTGTAAGAGAGCGTGCATCTATTCTTGTCAAGCATGCTCCTCTTTCTCATGATGTCAATTATTGATTTTAGATGTCTTCCTCTTCGAATTATTCCGGAACGGATCTGTTCTTCTTCCTTTTTTTTTTGTGTGTATATTTATATGTGTGTAATCTAGCAAGCGTTTGTCTTACGATAACAAACATACAAGTATCCATGTCACTTGTCTATAAATAAATGTTATTTTGTGTACAAAATTATATATACCTATATGTATATATAATCAACCTTAAAGTTGAGGTTATCATTGAGATTCATATAAAAATGTATTATAATATCATGTATTGTGACCTATCGATGTAATAATATTCATCTATGATAACTAAGTATTGGTGTCGTTATTTGAAATATAGAAAGAAAGAAAGAGAAAAAGTTATTTTTGATCATGCTCGTTCTTGAACAAGAAAAGAAGAAAACTCTAGAGGTAATATTTGGTATTTTATATTGAGAGGCGTGCAATTATTTAAGATAATCTGATAATAGTCTCTTTGGGTGTAGAACGATGAAGGAGGGAAGAGAGAGAGAGAGAGAATAAGATGGTGATCATAATGATTTTTTTGCTGTTACTGCTTCCTGCATACGCGAATGCGTTTTACACTGTCTCAGGAGACAAATGAATAGTATGTAAAGGCATGTTGTTGTCAGCATCTACCATCATCACCAGCATGTTGAATGATTTGCTATGTTGATAATAACACCATCGCCATCGTCATCTTTCTCTAGAGCCAACAAAGATATAGAGATGTATATATATATGTCTATGTAAGACCATTGTTTGAGAGCAATGTGTGTATCCGATCGAATAAGTCAGATTTGGTAAGAAGCTTTTCAAGGATTTTTCTTCTTTCTTTTCTTTATATTGACTAAATAAAAAAAATGTATCGATTAACTTTGTGAATAATTGTCATTCAGTTGTTTGAGAAAAGAAAGAAACAAAAGAAAAAGAATTTTCTTTTTTTATTTTTTTTATATCGTTCATTCAACCGAAAATAATCGACAACGAAATACGATATGTATTTTCTTTATTCATTTTAAGGATTTTCTTTATAATCCCATATTAGAAATCGGTTTTTTTTTTTCGTCTTATGTTTACTTTTTCCTTTTGAAAACTCTTATTTAAAAACCTTCTAAATAAGAATTTGATGTAGATTACCTTTAGTAGAGAAATGGAATATAAAAAGCAAATAAAAAGAAAAATAAGAATGAGAAAGAAAAACAATAGTTTAATTTTTGATTGACTATTTAATTTTATTCGTTTAAACATGTCTTTGACAGTTGAATTCAATCATTATCATGTTTTTTTTCTTATTATTTGATGTTGTCATATTGATCTGCCAAACTTCTTTTCTTTCTCATTTTATCCTATATTTATTTTATTGCTCAAACACAAACACTTTCTCTTTATGACTTGTCTGGTTTATTGTATATTGACAATCTCAAACATTCCTAAAAAGAAAAGAAAGCAAAAGAGAATCAACATAAATGAGAACATAGATTTTTGTTGTTAATTTTTCCTTTATATATATATATGCGTGTTTGAAAAGAAAGAAATGTTTGTATTTGCTAATTAATAAATGAAATCTTTCTGTTTCTTGGACAACTACTACACACACATTTATTATAAATTTTCAAAAGTGAGCATAGGTTGCACTTGTAAATACATAAGCATAGAAAGACCATCAATTTAAAATTCTTATTTGAAATGACAGAAATAAAAAAAGAAAAGATGAAGAAAAAGGGAAAAAAAAAGAAGAGAATAATTAATACGTACTACCGCTATTACAACCTGATCATTCGACGTTCTCATTTTTCTCTCTCTCCCTCTGTTCTCACTCGTCAATCACTTTCTCTCGCTTGTGCAATCACAAACACACACACAATCATAATATGTTCTCGCTACATACAACGCGCGTTTGTGCCTTGTTCTTTGTTCAAAATTTTCCTTCCCTCTTTTTCTATGTTATGGCTGTCTTCTGATCATTCAAAGAAAAGAGAGAGAGAGAGAGAGAGAGAGAGAGAAAGAGCAGAAGAAAAGAAATCTGTGTGCAAATTACTCAAATCTTTTATGAATGAACGCATAAGGGCGAAAAAGGAAAAAACTCGTTGTTTCCATACACTCGTCATTTTCTCTTCTTTTTTCTCTCTCTCTCTCTCTCTTCTTATTCATTGCTCTCATTTATTTCTACTTGTATTGATTGTCTTGAGTTTTAGTTCTATAAAAAAAAGGAAAAAAAAAAACAAACACATAAACTCTAACTATAATCGAATAGAACATATACAGGTAGAAATATATTTGTCAATTAGAATATCTCGTCTCTCTTTTTTTTTTTCTCCTCTTGCTAGCAAAACATTATATTATGTCTTGTTTCTTTAATATGCTCATTTATTACTTGCTACTCTTCTTCATATTTTTCGAGAGGTCTATTGTTATTCTGTTCAAATGATGAACAGCAAGAAAGGAAGCCTTTTTTATTTCAGTCCTTTTCTGTCTCTATTACATGAGTACAATAAAATTTGTCTTTAGATCTGAAACCTTGTCGAACAAGTCGATTGTTGCTAGTGAACAATAATAATAATAATAATAATAATAATAAAGACATTGAACAGCAATATCAACATTTGACTCGATTTGAACTAGACGGTCTACAAACATTATGTTCTCTTTTACGAAAATTAAAAGACAAATCGATCCCGGAAGATCTTATTCAACCACAACAACTTTTGGAATCAATGGAGGTAAATTAAAATACAAAAAAAAAAAAAAAGAACATTTTCTTTTATTGATTCTTAAATTTATATAAAAAGAAACAGTTTCCAAGAGGAACAGAAAAAAAAAACCTTTTACAAACATTGGGATTTGATCTTCGAATGTAGAAATCCATCATTAATATTTTATCTGTTTAAATAATTTTTATTTAAGTATCTGATCAATAAAAAAAAAAGAAAAAGTAGTATTGACAATGTCTATATATCCTATGAAAAAAGACATTTACACAACAAAAAAAAAAAAAGAAAAGCCATTCGACCTCTCATTCTTTTTTTATTTTATTTTATTTATTTCTTCTTCTTCTTCTTCCCTTTTTTTAAAACCTTGTATTCTAACATAAATATAATCTTATCTTTAATCTAGCGTCTTCTTATTGATCATGTTTCTGATGATTCTCAATTATCAATAACTGGTCAATCGATAATTCATTACAACTATAATCAACAATATACATTCGATATAACTAACAATCAAGTAAGCTAAAAAACAACAAATCACATAGACACATGTACATAAAGTCGGAGCTCTAAATAAACTATTACAAAAGTCATGTTGATTTAAATATTTTCTTTTTTTGTTGTTATTCTATTCATTTGTGACATAATATACTTTCATATATATATATTTAAGAACGAAACGGAGACTTTTCAAGGCATTAAACGTAAAAATCCTGATCATAATAATATGCAACAATCATCATTTCATCTTATTCATCCTTCACAACATCAATATGAAACATTATCAATGCAACAACCAACTACAAATGTTGTTACATTACATCCATCAACAACTGTTTTATTAAGTGGACCATTAGCTAGTTCTAATTCATCAAATTATTATCCTTCTCATCATCCTCTTCCACCTCCACAACAACAACAACAGCAACAACATTATATTAATAATTATAATCAATATACTCCAACAAAATCACCAACACAACAACATTATCAAACAGATAAAAATATAACTGCAAAAGATCGACATAAACGTGTTCGGTATATATACATATATTCAATAAAATTGTTTGAAAAATTTCAATTTTTTGTTTTGTTTTGTTTTTATGATTAGATGTAAACAATGTGAACCATGTTGTCGAGATGATTGTTCTGAATGTGTACATTGTAAAGATATGCCAAAATTTGGTGGTGTTGGAAAAATGAAACAATGTTGTTTAACAAAACAATGTATTGCACCTATATTACCATCAACAGCAACATGTCAAGTATGTTTAAAAAAGAAAGGTTCAAGAAAATTATCTCAATTAAAACCAGAAGAAATTCTTTATGAATGTGAACGTTGTATGGAAATTCATCATTTACCATGTTTTCATGTATATTGATAATTATATGAAAGGAAAAAAAATAAATAAATAATTTTGTTTTTTAAAAATTTTTAGACTGCTCATTCTGATGTATCTACAAGTGAAGGTGTATTTAGTGATGATATACCTGAAACATGGTTATGTCCAAAATGTATTACAGCTAATACACCTGAACCACCTTTGTATAAATTACGACCTATTGTTCGACGAACATTAGTTACAACAAATAAAGGTAAAAATGGTCTTATTGAATTACCATATTCAGATCCTTCACAACAACAACATCATCATCATATTTTACAACAACAACAACAACAACAACAGCACCAGCAACAATATCATATGTATGCAACAAATATAAATACGAATTTACATTATACAGATTCGTATGAAGTTATGGAAAATGAAGCAAAAAAAGTAAGAGAAAATATTTGATAATTGTTTTTGAAATTGTGTTTGTCTTTTTTTTTTTTTTTTGGAAATTTAAGCGCCGTCTTTATGCAAGTATGTATACAACAAATGGAAATATTGATTCACCTGGAATACCAACCAATCCATCGTCAACAATGAATAATAATTTAGTTGCTCTTGATGATCTTTCACAATCGTTAAATGATTCGGATTTATATATTCCACAAATGTTTGCTGTTTAATTATTTTTTTTTCTATCTCTCTCTTTCTCTTTTGTTTGTGATAGTTATCATTCATTCCTCTTTTTTAAATTAGGCTACGAGCAGATACCCCGGTGTATGTGCATGAAATATAAAAAATAAAAAGAGAAAGACAAAGAGAGAGAGAGAGAGAGATATGAGGGAAAGATTGTGTATTTACTTTTCATTTTTATTTACTATTCATTCTTTTGTTTTGTTTTTTTTTTCTTTTCGTCAGTCATTTCTGTCTCGTCTTTTTTTTTTTTCTTCTGTACTTATTTCTGTTCAGTTTTTCAAGATAAAGACAGATGGAGAAACAACATATAAAATTTCAAGATGTCGAAATGAATATATAATTTGACATGCAATAACATTATTCATTGATAAAAAAAAAAAAATTTTTTTTTGTTTTATTTGTTTGATTGGACTTTCATTTAAAATGCATTGTTTGAACATTTCCTTCCCCCCCCCCTCTTTTTTTTTCACCTTCAAAAAGAAAAAAAAATTTAATCAATGATTAATTATCAAATCTAGTCATGTTGATTTAAAGGAATTTAAAAGAAGACAAAAAGCATTGATTGGCAACTTTAGTGCACTAAAGTATATTTGTTTTTGAATATTTCATATGACATTTATTGACAGAGATATAATTGATTTTTTTTTGATTCTGCTAAAAAAAAAAAGAAAGAAAACTGCTCTTTCATGTTCTTTCATCAAAATTGGAAGTACTTTTAACGTTAATGTGTATTCAATTGAATCTCTAACTCTTGACAATCAATTAAACAAAAGCATTCTGCAACTTTTACTGAGTTCAAATGAAATTATATCAATGAGTTAATAAATTTTAATATTAGTTTAATGAAATGCTGACAAAAAAGAAGAAAATATAGTTTACAGAAAAATAATAGTTTTCTTGTTTAATGAAAATGTCCAGCAATAAAAATATTGTTCATTATTATACTCGTTTTGTTTGCTCTTTTTTACGATGTTCTCTTTTTTAAAGTTGCTGCTGCATCTTTAAAATCTCGTTGTTGTTGTGGCCAAAGATGTTTATAACCATAAGCATTTTGTGGCCCTACTGCACATTGTTGAGCGTAATACGGATATTGTGATGCTTGCTGTGGTGAACAATAGTATGGTGAACAACATAATGAATTATATGCTGGATATTGTTGTTGAGAAAAATTTGGAAAAGAACTATTACAACATGAATATGGTGTACATTGTTGAGACTCAAATAAATTCAAATTTATATTTTATATATTTTATATTAAAGAAAGTTTTACTTGCGGATAGAAACCACTGCATTGTTGTTGTTGTGGAAAGAACTGCATTGTTTGATGCGTTTGAATATGATGTAAAAGGAATGTTTTCGTAATGAAAGCATTGCCTTTATACGGCGAACTTTGGTATAATTACGTGAAAATTTTGGAGGTCGAAGGTTAACTTTGAATGCCTTTGGCAGTTCTTTTTATGATCAAATAAAATACATTAATCATGTTGTCAAATAATAAGTGTGATAATAGTTTTTTATGTATATATATACGAGTTTGATAATGGTGAGAGTTTGATGTTTAGTTGGCGTTGATGACACATTTTGTTAGAAGTCAAACGGCCATGACAAGGACTTTAGAATAAGAGAAATTTGTTTTATGTGTTAATGAATAATAGAAATCAAGAACAAAATTAAAAAAAATATTGCTTACATAATTGAAATATCCGAATCAATAGTGTAAAACATTATTATAAAAAAAAATTATTATTTGAGTATTGTCATATGATTTATATTGCGCATCGTTTTTTTCTCTACTTGATTGCGTGTTTTAATAATTCTATCTAAAGTTTGAAAATTGAATTATTTCATATTTCGATAAATAACACTCGAAAAAATGAACTATATGTTGAAACTGATGGCTAAAAGAAAATTCAATAACACCAGATACTTGATATTACAATGAAAAACAAATAATTCTAAGACTTTAATGACAAAGAAGCTAAGGAATGTTATATAAAGTATATACTAGACATGATCAGAAAATACACAAAAGAAAAACTTCAAAAATTTGGAATCGACAGCTGTTTGCTGACTATATGCTGATTTATCTTTTGAATTCTGTTGTTGTCTATTATGACTAGAAGAATACACTTGCCTTTCAGATACCGCGCGGTATGACATGCTGTCTAACCGCTAATGCAATATTCCAATATATTTTCTTCGACTAATATTAACTCTAGCTGCTCTCGAAAGAAGACCTCATTGAATGTACCATATAAACCAACTAATCACAGATTAATCATAAAACAGTCAGCATACTATTAAACAGATAATCTGATGAGGAAACATATCCAACTGTTCAATTTATCGATCTAAATAATATTTTTCTTATCAATAAGGTTCAGTAAAAATAGAAAAATCATGAAAGGACTTCTTCCTATAGACATTCTTTATGGAGTAATAACCATTTGATCTGATTTTCAGCTTATGGCAAGATATTCTTAGAAACATCAAAAATCAAAAATTTCAGTCAACGCGAATGCATCCATCTCGACATAGAGAGTACTGAAGAAAGGCTGCCCTCATAAATTATTTTTGGCATATAATTATTTTTTTTTTTTGAATATTCAATATTTCGAGAAGAAATCATCTGCTTGGTCAGAAATTTCCAGAATATTCTAAGGATCAAGAAACTTATAGGCAAAAGTTCAAGTGAAAATTCCTTTTTTTTGTCGAATTTTTTTATGAAAGTTTTGCCCTAAACTGAAAGTTCGATACAACGATCATAAATCCATAAGAAAGGTCTACGAGGAGACATCTTTGTGAGGATTTTTCTAGTCTAAATTAGTCCTATTTAGATGATTAACAGTTGAATATGTTCCCTAGTTAGTCAGATTGACTCTATTATGATTGATTCAGCTTATGTAATTCAAACAGAATAAAAATCATTGAAAAATCGTGTGGAATCATACGAGTTAGAAAAGTTGCATTTGTCAATATTGATCAATAACCGTTGGTATACCGACAATTAACGAAGCGTAGTCTGATACTTCAATAGTTCAACTATGTTCAGATCTTTGTAAAAATAAATATCTTACACAATTACTCATACATAAGAGGATAATTTTCTAAGAAACTTCAGAAATATACTGATTCATAAGAAAGAATTTTATACGAAAATGTACGGATCACGAAAGGCATTGTCAGAAAGTTACGGTAATTTCTTTAATACTTATATGGATAAATGAAGTTATAAATCTATAAGATATAGAAGCTAGCCACATAATGTTAAGAACTTGCAATAATTCGTCAATAATCTTCGAAATTTCGTACAACATTCTTTCTGATGAATCAATAATTGAGGAACATTATTAGAAATTATCTTCTGGTATGTTGGCAATTATTCACATTTTCAAGAAGTTCCCTGAGAAATGTTTTCATATACGTTAGTAATCGCCAAAATTTACCTGCAATCACGTTCTGATATGTTGACAATTTTGAAAATGTGAATATACTTCAAATGCTCGGTCACTCTACCATAGTATACCTATAGTTTTTCTCTGATCATCAATTTACTATCGGTATACCGATGATGGTGCGAACAACTATACAGAATGAAAATTTTACTTCTCTCTTCGTCGTTTATTACTCATTTATTATAAGCACGAGGTGTATTATACAATAAGGCTGTAATATTCAACGCTTTATTCATATTTCGGTTATTAACAATTCAGAGTTCAATTTCATTTTGAACATAAAACTGTTGTCGGGTATGAATATTGAATAATTTAAATGATTATAGGATCTTTGAATTCGAAACAATCAAACTGAAGCACCGATTTTTCATGCTGATTTGAAATGCTCAATAGAAAATCGAAAAAAAGTACAATCAATGTAGAACAATTGTTGAATTGACTATCATTAGTATTTATAAAGTAAAAACATAATAAATTAGAAAAAAAGTCAAAAAACAAAAAGAAATTCTTATTTCTTCGGTGGTATTTTGTTTTTTCGGGTAATTAGGTAAAATATCACAATTATCATTAAAAAATTATATCAGTTACGATGTTTTACTCATTTGTATGTTCTTTATTTAGCATATTCCCTTCTGCTATTTTTGCTTTCTTTATTTTTCTATTCAATAGTTTTTCTTTCTGAGTTTTCCACGAAAAAATTCTTTCATACATACCATTTAGAAATGAAATAACAATAGAAATCTTGTGAAATATATAAGATGCTAGAGCAAATGAAGATTTAATACTCATCTTAATTTATATTGTTAACTTTCTGTGCAATAATCAATAACATGCTTAATTCAATATGTATTTTCAAGTCTTAATATTTAATTAATTATGAAAAGATATTAAAAACGAACATAATTTACATTAAGTAATAATAGCATACTTAATTTACTATTGTCCATTTCAGAGTTAAATGGCTGTGGGCATTTTTTAAACAACTTTTGGTAGGAACAAGATAGAGATCTGCGATTTTCACTGTTGGAAAGACCAGATGAAAACGCATCGAATTATGTATAGAACGATTTAATCAATAAATTAATATCGAGACCATGACAAGCATGCTGTTTTTCTTCAAGTTTTATGTAAAACCTATAGAAAAATAGCTAGAAAAATCTTTCTACGTATAATTCGATGCGTCTTCATCTGCTCTATCCAACGGTGAAAATCGCAGATCTATATCTTGTTTCTATCAAAAGTTATTTAAAAAATGCCCATGACCATTTAACTCTGAAATGGACAATACATATAAGTAAGTAGAACTTCAAGATTAAATTTTCTTATTTACTCATTTTAGACATAAAGAAAATTAAAATGAATAAAAATGCCATTGTTTCGAACGAAACATCACATAAATATAAAAACTAGTCTGCTCATTTTAGAAATGTTAAATTTCGTTTTGCAACTGAAACATATCAATAAATGTTCTTTTTTTTATCAAATAATATTTCATTATGGAATGAATGTTTATTTAAACTTTTTCTATATTTATATATATATAAAACATTGACAACGATGAAAATAAACAATGATTGATATGAATAACACGAGTTCCTATATTCGGATATAAAATTGCTTATTTATTATCAGATTTGAATACAAATTGAATTGAGAATGAATGATTAAAGAAACAAACTAATGACAAAAAAAACAGCATAGGATCACTTCAAAGTTCAATTTTGTCTTTATATTTATAAATCAAAGGTTTTCTTTTTCTATTGTTTATTTTAATAAAAAGCCAGAAAATCAAACTACTAGCAAAAGAATTCAATCGCTTTTATCTTCGATTTATATATCACTTAATATATTCTTTAATTTCTGATTTTATTTCATATAGTTTGTACCTAAAGATACAACAACACACGGAAGCTTGTGATTATTCACAGTAAAATTTCATCGAAAAAAAACAACAAGTTTGTTCTATTCATACAAATAAAATTTATTTTCAGACATTTCAATTTCATTTGAGAAAGCTATTGCTTCAAAATTTCAAACTACTTGTATCAATTTATTCTAATTTAGACATCAATCCAAATAGCAAAAATTTCGTGTTAAATCTATTTTACATTTGTTTTATTGCTATCTAAGGACGTAGAATTTCAGTTTACTTATCACCAACAGTGTTGCAGAAAACGCGGATGCTAGTTTAATCAGTGAATCACCGTAGAGTATTTATACCAATACTACATATCTTCTATCTCTCTATTCATGTTTGTCCAATCAAGACAGAAAATAAATATATTATTTTAGTTTTCTCTTATATTTATGCAAAGTTAAATTAAGTGAACATCATAAAATGTTTGAATCATATTAGAGATTTGTTGCTGGAAAATCTATTTTCTTTTAAATATGCACAGTGGGGTTATAAATTAGGCGAAAGTAAAGAAATTTAATTATGAAATATTTAAAATTTTCCAATATGAAAAAAATTTATTTCAGGTGCATTACTCTAATATTATTCATAAAGTTGATTTTGATTCCTTCTATTTATTTTCTAAGATGATAATTAATTTGAGTCTTCTCTCTCTCTCTTCTCCATAGACCATGGCAGACATTAGTCAGAGACTATCACTAAGATCTCGTTCTAATATATAAACTAATTCCTTATTGCATTTCAAGAGGATTAAGTAAAAAAAAAATGACGAATAAATGTATCCCAAAATAGATAGAAGAAAATAATATCCCTGTGATTAGCGCAACAACAGCTATATTGTGGTTCATATATTAATCCCACAGGAATTGCACTAACAGTTTTTTTTAATACTTGACAATAGATCAACGTTTCTGAGTGAAGTCAACAATAGTATCTAACAGTAGTATTTGTTCACATCTTTCATACGAAAAACAAAAAACAAACTTCTATAATTAATACAAAAAACAATTAACACATTTGAAGAAATCAAAGCGAAGATATTTTAATTTTTTCTATATCGCAATTTTATATCTGATCCATTCTATACATATTTCGAGGGAGAGAGAGAGAAAAAAAAGAGACAATAACAAAATCCGAAATCTATTAGTTATTGAGAGAATAGAAAAACTTCGAGAGAAATTCATATCAAAGTCTTTGTTTTTGTCTATTTCTTTTTCCATTTTAACATCATTCAATACTTCATCGAATAAGCAATTATTATCATCTTTTATTACATAGATAAACAGGTTAAAAATATTTTTACTAAAAAAAAAATATTCATTAAATCCTTTTAAATATCTAGTAACTATGCATACAAAATTGATGACTACATGTTTATGTTTTTTCATCGTTATTGTTAGTATGACAATAATATCGACTGCATCACTTGAAAATGATGAATATTCACTTGCTAATAATGATTGGATCAATATGGATACTTATTATCCAACATATGAATTTGATACTCGTGCAATTAACTCACGTTTTTGGAAACGTTTACCACACCGTCACTTTTGGAAACGATCAGTTGTTGAATCAAAAATAAAACATAACAATATGATGAAATCTATTTCCAAACAAAGCCAACAACAAGACAAACATTAAACAATAGACCAAAAAAAAAAAAAAAACACTATATTTTTTTTTTTTTTTTTTGTTCAATAGACTTAGTGATGCAATACTTCACCGAAGACATTAGTCTATTCATTTTGAATATAATTGAATAAAAAAATAAAAATAAATCTAAGAACATATACACAAAACAAAACAAAAAAATGAATTGTTGTCATTAGCTATCGATAATGTCATAGAATCCCCATAGGGATATTCTTTGCATTATTACTGAAGCTATTAACTATCAATTATAAAGAAAGACAATAAGAAGAATATATAACGTAGGTAATAATTCATTTAAATCATTCTTTTCCTTCTTCTTTTTTTTGAACATTTATTCATGCATATAATAAATAAAAAACTATAACAATACATTGTCAGAAATAAAAAGAAAAGGCAAATCTCAATAATTGATTTATCTACATGGAAGACTGTTCTCTTTTTTTTGAGTCATACAACATGTACTGGTATAAGTGAAACTTGATCTGGGTGGGAAATTGAATGATTAATATTCTGAATTCGCTTATGATTTGAATATTTATTTAATATCTGCTGTGTAGAATTCGTTGATTTACTACATTGAATTTTTCTATAGTTTAAACGATTAGAGTTATTATCAATATATGGTAAACTTTGTCGAGAAGAGTTTATACGAGAGATTGGAGTTTGTTTTTTACAATCAATACTTCGATAATGACGACATATTTTAAGAATACATTGAATACACAATAATAATACAAATAAAACACTTGTAACTAAACCAATAATAAAAAGCCAATTATGTAAAGGATCATTTGACAATGATGATGATGATGTTTTAGATGATTGTACACGATCAAAAGGTAAATGACGTTGTGCATCCTCATAAAACATTGCTAAAGGTATATTGTAAAAAGTGTGAATAAAATTCAAATATTTCTTAAACTAAATTTTAAAAATAAAAAAAAATGAATTTATTGATATTTGTTTTTCTTCTCTTTATAGAATTGCATATGTGTTGAAATTTTCTTACATAAAATCAAACATCGTCATTTAATGTAATTATATTGCTCAGCAAACACTTAAATTTCTACTTCCGTTGTTTCTCTGTACAAGTAATAGAAATTCGAATAAAAATATGTGAATGACTATGTTTCGCATTTATAAATGTTTATAGATTAATAATGTTAAATTTCATATTTCTATTGCAATCATTTATTGACATACAAAACTCAATTAAGTTTTTGTTTTCGGATTATGAAACATTAAACATCAATAATTTAATTTTTATTTATTGAAAATAATTATATTGTTAATTTTAAATTGTATCAATTATATAAAAAAAACAAAGTTCTTTCAAACTGTACTCAGCACACTTTCCTATTAAACTACATTTTTAATGATTTTTATGTGGGGTTTTTTTTTGTCACTTTTTCGACTTCACCAGTAACGTGTCATAGATATAAAATTACGAAATACTTCGAAATGTAATATGACTCATTTTATGCTTACTTTTAAGGAAGTTAAAGAAAAGAAAATTTGAAAAATTAATTTAATGATGACATATAAAAAAAAAAAAATATGAATTATAATATTTTCTCATATGAAGTTAAATTTCCTGTTGTTTAAATATATTTTTTAAGATGACTTGAATAGAATCTTTTAGTAATGATATTTTATATGTCAACTATTGTTAGATTTATATTTGACTTGACGTTGTATTTTTTGGTTTCTATAACGAATCATTAAACAATAGAAGTTGACAATATATTAAGAAATAAAAACCATTAAAATAAATATCGCATAGAGTTTTTTTTTTGCAGCATATTTTTTCTGATAAGACTTATTGTTCATTATTATGTTAATTTTATTAAGTAGACGACAAGAATAGATAAATATATAATTATTATTTGAAATATTAGGAATTTTATTTTTATCATAGTCTATCATCTACAGGTAAGTTAATCAGTCAAGGTTATTTCTTTTATTTTTATATAAAATAAAAACATTTACTTTTAAAAATATAATAAGACTAAGAAAGAATGTGTGTCGAATTACAGACTTGATGTATTAAAAAAAAAAAATGTTTGACTCTAGCAGTGGCGTACGCAGAAATTTTTCAAGGAGGAGGCCGCCATGGCGCAAAAAAATTTTTCCCTGTACCCCCCTCCAGGAATTCTTCGTCTCAAGGGGGGACTCGGGACCCCTCGCCCCCCTGCGTACGCCACTGAACTCTAGTTTTCTTTTTAGTTTGAGAACTGTTACTAAACTCAAACTAGTTTTTACATAATTTATTTTATTTTTTATTATAACTCTATTTTTCACAACTACGATCTTCCTCACGTAATGAAATTATTTTTTTGTTATGATTCTGTTAGAAACTTTTATAGTTTGTTAGGATTCAATGTGCTGATTACAAATAATACATTTTCTTAATATAGTATTCAAATAATAAGAAAAGTTTGAAATACTTTTTGAAATTTCTAATAAACAGTATGTGACATCTGAGTTGCATCAAGTTCAAAAACTACATTCATCGAAAAAAAGATTTATTTGATGGAGAGTAGAAAAAAACTGAAAAAGAAGTATTGAATAAGATATTTCATTAAAAAAAAACCGCATTGGTAGTAGAAGTGCAATTTTGTACTTGTGAAATGTCATTTGAAGACAAAAGCAGAGGTGTTTAAACATATAAATAGTTATTTTTATGAAATTCTTTATTTGACATATCCTTGAAAGGAACTAAAAGTTAAAATTCGATCGAAAGACATCAAATATGATATTTGCTTGAAAACTACCGCATATAAATCGAAAAAGGACACAAATTGACTCTTGAGTATCGTAATTGAATTAAAAGTGCTTTACTAAATATCAAATTTTAAGTTAAAAACAGTATTATGTGGAAGAGCACATACCATAAAAATATTCCGAGAAAAAAAAACGATTTTTATAGACTTGACTAGCAAAAAAATTCTACATCAAGTAAATATTTTTTGCAAACGAAATTAGATTTTATACGCTCGTGCATGTCTAATACTATTTATTTTAGGTTTCAGAAAGTACTGAAGATCTTTTTGATTATTGAAGTATTTTTGAAAACAAAAATTTGATAATTGTAATCAGAACATTAAATTCTCTAAGACTACAAAGACTTTTAACAGAATGGTAATAAAAAAAAAATTTTTTTTTCAGTATTTGAAAGAGATCTCAGGTTTGAAAGATTAAATGTGCCATTAAATACAAAATAAACTTGTTAAATTATAGTACAAGTTCAATGATGGTTTTCAAACTAATAAAACTTGACTCAGTTTTTTGTTACACCAAATTCATAATTTAACATAATTCATTTTTATTCATTATAATAAACATTCTTCTCTACAATGGAAGCTCTACTGTTAATTAATTAAATAATTAATATGTCGCAAAATAGGAATTTTAATTAATCCACTTACATCAAAATATGCTTAGTGAACAACTATAGAGGACATCTGGTCAGAAACCGCTTTTTAAACTCTTCCTCACCAGTCTGTACTTCTTCGGTTTGAGCCAACTCCTTCCTATACTCTGAACATTTGGTATGAAGAATTTTGTTGAAAAGTAGGTTAGCTGTTCAACAGTACTCTATTGAGTCTAGGAATACGACGTAGTATTAATATAAGTATTAAAATACTGAAGAGTGACTCATCGAAACAAGATCTACTGAGACACTAATTACACTGGCATTCGTTTTCAACACTGATAAATCAGCTCTATCAAAATATGCTCTTTTTGTAGTTTGTTAAAACCATCTAATTATCAGATATTCTGAATTGTTACGATTAGGAGCTGAAAATCTTAAAGGATTAAAATGGACATTATTTCCTAGTTTTTAAGACCTTAAAATCATTGTATTTTTTTTTTGAAAGAAAAATTTGAAAATCTGTAATTTTCTAACATTTAATTACATTTGTATGGATCGATTTCACTTTCTTTTAAATCAAATACAGATAGAATAAGATTTTATTACTCAATCTAAATCAGAGTTTCATTCATATATCTATCAAACTATTAGTTTTTTTCGCAAAAAATCTATTTCTAATGTTTAATAAAAGAAATTCATAATGAATAAAACTCATTGATTACACTTCGTAGAAAGATTAAAAAATAATTTACATCCAATATTATAATTTAACACTTTCCACACTAGACAATGTCAATCAACAATTGCTAATTTATATTAGGAAAACTAATTCATAGAATTATCATAACAGTTGGGTCATAAATAATTACATTTGTTCGTATTTTCTCTGTTCTTCACTTGATTGAAACAAAATTTCTTTTTGTGTACTACTCCAGGTAACGTTTGAATTCTTCTATACAAAATGGAACACACTATTTAACAAATATAATCTTATTCGTGTTTTTTTTTAAATCAAACAGAATCGTACAATAAACTCAAGTATGTCATGTATAATATTTTTGCTTTTTAGTTTTATTTAACAGAATATATTATTTCGTTTATCTATAATGCATTTTCTCTTATGTAATCCTAATGAATAATTTACATTAGTTCATTTGATAAACTATCGTCTAATGGAATTTTAATTAAACAAATTCAGTACACTAGTAATTTTTAGAAAATATTGGATTAAAACCGATAAATATATTTAAAATCTGTTGAAATTGTCGAAAACAAATCGTATTCAATGAAAAATGTGTAATGTTGAAGCGTTAAACTTGTTCGACAGGTGTGTGTGTGAAGAGCTCTACTATTGATCATTTTTATCTATATAGTATTTGTTCCCTTTATAACAAGGCTAACTACATTGCGATAAACTTTTGTTGATTCATGATTTTATTTTTTTACAATTGTTGATAATCATGACTAACTTTATCATCTATTTTTTTTCAAATAGATCTTAGAAAAAAACAAAATTTTGGATTTTATTATATATATGGTTTTTTTTGTAGAGAATTTGAAATGTTATCTTTTGATAGAAAAAAAAAAATATTTTAATCAAAAATTTAAGATAGAAATTCCTTCAATATATGTATTTATGGACTGTTTAGAGTAACATTGTACTAAGAAGATAAATTCATATAGTTTATTAATAAATACATTTTCAAATAAAAAATTAATCTTTAGATTTAATATTATTTAAAAATATTCAATCATTCGAAATTTTTATTTTAATATTTATTCAATTCTACATATAAAAATAAAAGATTTTTTTCTATAGTTTAGCTATTGTTAATCATGCATAAAAATAGAAATATAAATGCATGAAATGATTACATTTATTTCTCAAAATCAACAAATATTAATATTCAATGATGTGACATCTCACCCATCATTTACTATTTTCTATCGTAAAAAAAAAGATTTCTTTTCAATATGTAATCTTATATTTTAGATGATAGAATATGACATATGTCGAAGAAAAAGATATAATATATGAATAAGATGAAAAAAAAAAAATTAAATCATTTTCTTTAATTTCCGTTTTTATTTTTTCTTCTTCAATCTTACATTTAATCGATATTATCTGAAATCGATCACACGAACAAAACTAGACTAGACATCATTTTATATATCAATGCCATATAAATATAAAATAAAAAAAAAAAAAGCTCAGCATTAAATGCATCGATCTTCATAAACTAAGAACATATTCTATTGTGAACGATCAATCAGAATTCTAAGGATGCATGCAGTTGTGTTCTAGCTAAGGTGTAGAAATGTTTTAATGTTTCAGCTTTATGTTATCTCTTGAGATTGAGAACAATCAAATACATTGTCACGAGAAAGAAAATTCTATTTAATATCATATATTTATAGATCGATAAAAGCCACCACGGTAAGGAATTCTTGACCTTGTATATAGTTTTGCACCTCATATTTCTCATATTGAGAACAGAACATGCATTAGAACTGGTTTCTGTTTTTATTTTTTTTTTCTGTTCAGTAAAGATGTGAAGTATCCGAAAAAGAAAAAGTTCAGTTCATTACGGACATATGTTTTTTGTTATTTATCTAATCAATAGATGAAAAGATTCGCCTACCACCTTTTCAATTACTTCTATTCAACATATTTGTCCATTAATCATCATCAATTTTCCATTTCTCATATTGGTGTTGTTGTTGTTTTTTTAATATATGTAAATCATTCGTTCAATTAATCTATCGATTCATTTTGTATAATATAATTATATTCATATAAGAGATTTTCAAACGAACAAATGCAAACAAAATATAAAAAAAAAAAAAAAAAGAAGAAGAAGGAATCTCATTTATTAATACGTTCATATTCAATTGATTATTAGTATGATAGAGAAAACTATGAAAAAGAATCAATTGTTTATCTTTCCGGAAACTAACCATATAGAACCTTTATAAAAAAAATGAGTTAGTATATGAACATATTCTACTCATATATCATTATCATAGTATAAGATATTTTTATTATATTATCTCTAGCGAATTGTCTTTTATTTTTATTTTTATTTTTATTTTTGTTTTTTAAAAAAAATAAAAAAAATGATTGATTATTATATATCTTTCTTTTATTTCAGTTCCTACTATTCACCTATCATTATCATCGTCATATTTATTTTATAATCATTAATATGAAGACAAAATTAATTCTTATTGTTAGTCTTCTAACCGTCTTATTTTTATTCTATTTCAATACTGTTGAATCAACAGTATTGATTAATAGTGATGAACAATGGGATGATCTTAGTTCAGAAGATTCCTCTGAATTAGATAAACGTCTTACATCGGCTAAATTTGCTAGTGGTCTTGGCAAACGTCTTACATCAGCTAAATTTGCTAGTGGTCTTGGAAAACGTTTAGCTTCAGCTAAATTTGCTAGTGGTCTTGGCAAACGTTTAGCATCAGCTAAATTTGCTTCTGGTTTGGGTAAACGACTTGCATCAGCTAAATTTGCATCAGGCTTGGGCAAATAAAAATAAAAACATTTATCTCTTGCCTTTTTTTTTTTTTCTTCTTCTTCCTGTGAATATGGACAAACAATGGATTCATTTTTCCTTCAATCAAAATAAAATTAGAAAAAATGTTAATGATTGTTGTTTAGTTTTATGTAATTCATCATGCATAAAAAGCGATATATATATTTAATAAAAGGACGGTTATATGAAAGAAGACGTATTTACTTCTTTCTTTTTTTTTTTTTTATTGCTTTTGCTCTCCTTCATGTTCAAAACTAAAGGATATAGCTTCAATAACTGACTAAATCGATAATGAATACAATATTGAAAATATCATTTATTCATTTTAAATTTCAATGACGAGGTCATCGTCTCTTCTTCACCATATATATTGATATCTTTTTTTATGTGAACGTGTTTTGTTATTGGTCTATCTATAGTGCATTGAACCGTAACGATGATAGTAACTATTTGAGAGTTCAAAACATTTTCATTATCGATTTTTATTTGATACATACAAAATAAATCAAAAACAAAGAAAATAATATCAAATGTCTTATCATTTTGTCTATCCAAATAATGGAACTACAACATTTGGTTATGGTACTGATCCAATATTAATATCAGCTGGTTATCCAAATATATATAATCCGATACAAAGATCATATTCACCAGAATCATTTTCATCGGATAGTGAAAGTAGTGATGATTATGAATATGAAAGTCGAATGATTACACGTGAAACAAGATGTACACAAGATGTTGTTCGTGTAGCAACTCCACCTCCAATTATTAAACGTGTTGTTGAACGAGCTCCAACACCTGAACGACCTACTATGGAAAGAGTAAGAGTAGATAAAAGAAATAAATTTCTTTGTTCTTTTCTCTCTTTTTTTATTATCTTATTCTAGGTTATTATTCGACCACAAGCTCAGGAAATTGTTGAACGTGTTATTGAACAATCACATACACCACCACCACGTTTTATTCAAAAAGAAATGCAAGAAGATGCACCACCACCAATTGTACGAACACGGTAAATGTTTTTTATTTTTATTCGAAAAAAAAAAACAAAATAACCTATATTTATTAGTCTTATTAAAGTCGATCGTCCACTTTGTAATGGTTATAGACAATCAGATTCACCATTTAATAAATTACCATCTTTTTCTAATGGTATTCTTAGTACTAGTAATGGTTATCGATCTCAATCGACTATGGGTTCAATTAGACGACCAGCTGTAATTCATAATTTAGTTGATAATAGTCCAAGTTTTTCATCATCATCAAGTTTTGAATATATCTCATCGGAACCTATGCCATCCATTGTATCATCATCAGCAATGTTACTTATGCCAGCATCACAACAACCACAACCTTTAGGTATTATGCAACAACCTCAACAACAACAAATTATGTATCGACCATTTCAAATGCAATCATCTTTTATTCCTTCAAATTATACATATCCTGTACATCATCCTGGTATGTCATTTGGTTATCGTCCAATGATACAACATGGTCGAATGATTTCAAATGGTATGCCAATGATGACACCTATGAATACATTTGCTATACCAACAAATACTTTTCCAAACCAATCACCATTATTTAATCCAATGATTCAACAATTAGTTTATTAAATAAAAATAAAAACAAATCATTTGACATATACTATGCACAGTCAGATAATAGAATAATACATTATATTCGTTCATTTTTTTTCTTTTTTGTACTCTTATTATTATTATTATTATTATTATTATTATTCGTTTGTTTGTAGAAGAATATTCATGTTCAAAAATTAGATTTCATTATGAATACAACTTTTTAATGATTTTCTTTTTTAGTTTTAATAGAAAAATTATTATGCATAGAATTCGTTATTATAGGACAAATATGTTTTTTTTTTCAATTTCTATTCTGAAATAACATGAAAGAATTTATAAGATTTCTTTAATTAATACTTGAAAACGAACTTAATAAATATTTGTATATATAGAAAGAAAAATCAATTCATGTGTCATTATTGTCTGCCATCTATAGATGTCGTTTTAGATAAAATTAAATTTAAAAACTAGATTATTTCTCTGAATTTTAAAATATTATTATTAAAAAATATAATTTAAAATCATAATTTTTCATTTCTATTATCTCTGCCTCATTATTTAATTCAATATGAGTGAATTGTTCAACGAAACAATATGGTCGTTAAATCGACAATTAATATTCTTTGTTTATTTGTTTGTTTTATTCTCTTATACATTCAAAACACTTGTCTGATTATTTTTCATTAACATACAATAATATAATCATGTCGGCTACACGTGAAGATGATGTTTATCAAGCTAAATTAGCTGAACAAGCTGAACGATATGAAGGTAAGAAAAATACAAAGAAATTATTTGTAATTTATAAGAAAATTTTATAAAATAAAATAGAAATGGTTGAGTCCATGAAACGCGTAGCAAAAGTGGATCAAGAACTAACAGTTGAAGAACGCAATTTACTTTCTGTTGCTTACAAAAATTTAATTGGTGCACGACGAGCATCATGGCGTATAATTACGAATATTGAAAGTAAAGAAGAAAATAAATCGGGAAATAGTAAAATTGCATTAACAAAGAAATATCGTTCCCAGGTATGTTATATATTAAATTTGTGTTTGTTTTTGAATTTTAATATCGAAAAGAAATTTAGGTTGAAAAAGAATTACGTGATATATGTCAAGATATTCTTGATTTACTTGATAAACATCTTTTACCAAATGCAGCATCAGGTGAAAGTAAAGTATTTTATTTAAAAATGAAAGGTGATTATCATCGATATAAAGCTGAATTTGCAACACAAGAAGATCGTAAAGAAGCTGCTGAAAGTTCTCTTATTGCATATACAAAAGCAAATGATATAGCACAAAATGAATTACCACCAACACATCCTATACGTCTTGGTTTAGCATTAAATTTTTCAGTATTCTATTATGAAATTCTTAATACACCAGAACGTGCTTGTCGATTAGCTAAACAAGTAAAAAAAAAAATTTTTATTTGTAAATATTTTTGATATAAATTTAATTTAATTTTTGTAAAAGGCATTCGATGATGCTATTGCTGAATTGGATACACTTAATGAAGATACATACAAAGGTTTAAATAAATAATAATAAATTTATTTTTAGTTTTTTCGTTTGTTTATTAGATTCAACATTAATTATGCAACTTCTACGTGACAATCTTACATTATGGACAACGGATATGCCTGGTGATAATGATAATGGTCCAAATGAAGTACAAGATGTTGATGATGAACAAAAGTGAATGAATTTCTATGTTTAAAAAAAAAACGCAAAAAAAATAAAAAAGAATTTTTTTTTTTTTTTTTCTTCTTTCATCTCAATCTCACATTTCTTTTGGTCTTTTTTTCATTTATTACAAACAAGAAAATTTCTTTTTTTTGTCTTCTTTTATGTGTATTCAAATGAGAATCTCTTTCTATATTGTTAAACAACGAGTGTGAGAATGATGATCATTTATAATTGAAACAAACGATTCGTGACGAGTAGATATGACTAGTCAGGAAATCTTCTCGTCAAACGCTTTATTTCTTTCACACATGAATACATATACACAAAGACACATTCCTAATTTATCTTTCAATTGACAAATCTTTTATGCGATTATGTACACTTTTTTTTTGCACGTTAGCACAAACGTTCTTCTTCGTTTTTTTTGTTTCTTTTTCGTTTGTCTTCATGTACTCCATATTATATATAAATAAATAAGTGTGTCTCTATGTTATCACTAATGCTTTTTCAGTTATCACCTTCAATTTTCGTTTTTTCCATTGAATAAACATACAAGAGAAAAAAAAAGATATGTCGTACTGGTTAAAAATACATAACGTATTTTTTTTTGCGATATCAAGTATTTAACTCAAATCTAAATGGAGATATGAATAGTAGATGAAGTTCTCTATCGATCGAGTTCTATAACAAAATATTATAGATGGACTGTAAGCAGAAGATTTATGAAAAATAAAACACGGTAATTTTACAGGTGTTAAAAGACTGAAAATTAGTTATTAAGTATATCATTTGAAAGAGGACAGAATGAGAAGTCGCCGCATTGAAGTGAAAATCATAGAGAATGCGACCAACTCGTATTTTTGTACTTTTTAAGATGATATTGTTTACAAGTAATTTTCATGTATTCTAGAAGTAGAAAACTATGTTGTTCGGATTTTCAGAAAACTTCTTATTATAGTTCATCTCTGAGACTTCAGTATAGAATACATATGATAAAAAACCGCATTAGCCATTTAAATTACTCTTTGAATTTGAGTTAAATGGTTGAAATCGTAGAAAAAAGAAACGTTATTGTTGTATTTTTCACTAGAACTCTATATGAAAAGTATAAAACTAGAAATTTAATTATTTCACCAAGAGGAAACAAATCATTCGTAGGGGCGGCGCGAAGAGGTCAGAACAGGGGGGAGGCTACTCAAAAATCGAATAAAGTAGCCTAAAATTTGTCCGATATATTTTTCCAAAATCGGAGAAAACTGTTCATTAATCTCTCTAAATTAGGAAAAATCTGAACCAGAATTCTCAAAGCAGAGGGTACCCTCCTCCAACCCTCCGCTTGCGCCGCTCCTGATCATTCGAAAGGTTACTTCAAACATATTTTTGCTTGAGAAATATGTATATGTCGGCGTTGACTTTAAAATTTTCCAAAAATATTTTAAAGTCAACTAGATCCAACAGGTTTCTTTACAAAATGACATAATTTTTCTCACATACTACACTCTCTTCGAATAAATTAGGATACATGTTAGTCATATTATTGAAAAATATTATACTAATGAGCTTTGACAGATCTTACAGAAAACATGGTTCTTTTTCATAGGTCTTTTAATAAAATGCCTCTCTTTAGCTTAGAATATTTTGTTATATTCACTGAAGAACCTATCGAAATTGTTTTATTAAATTTATGCAAACCAGCAAATTTATCTGTTGATAACATATAATATATTTTGATTATACTAAAATAGAGTTATACTTTATAAGAATTAACCGTCATTCTTAATTAGATACGTAGCTTTACCTTCATCTCTTTCGTCTGATGATAGAATACATTTAAACGGAAATAAATCTTCAAAGATGCTAGTCTTATCATACTATATCAACTTGAATATAAGTTAGAGTACAATTAGGATGAGTCGATGAAACAAATACGATGATAATAATGATAATTGACCAAAAAAAAGTGGAAACAGTAACTTAGTAAAAACACTCAGAAACAAACTAAATAAATAGATGGATAATGAACAGTCTATTTTCAGTTATAATTATATTCAGTCATAATGATTAAAAAAAATCATATAATTTCTCATATTCTAGGTTCAAAGATAATTTATCATGTATTTTTATACTAACATTCCCTATTTAAAAGACTATGGTTTTTTCTTTTTAATGGAAAATTTAGATGAGCAAGTTCAATGACCTGTTTTAATTTTTAATGTTAACTTTTTCCCTTAATAGAACACTTGCATTAGCTAATTAATTCCTTGCAACATTAAAAAATTAATTACTATATTCACACTAAAGAAATAAACAATGACAAAATTTCTGAGTTCTTGTAAATTCCAAAAATCGTTTTGACTTTTTCGAAAAATAAATAAAACATATTTTCGAAGATCGAACATATTCGATTGTGGCAAAGAGTATATTCCTTTTACATCCAGATAAGCCGTATCTATTGTATGGTTATTATATAAATGAGAAGAAAATCAATTTTCTAAATCGAGCTACAATTTTTTTCAAATAAAGTTATATTTTGTTTTAAACTCAAGCTTTTCTTATTATTACAATCGCATATAAGAGTAAACTGTTGGTGAGATAAGCATTTTTGACATCACCAAATTTATTGTAAATGAGCATGAGTATGAATGTGAATGTAAATAAAGTCACTCTCTTCATTGATAGTTTTGGTATTCATTTTACAATTAGATAATTTTGGTGATTAAAATACATTTTTCTCAATGTTAGTGCATTGAGCATTCTAAAAGATAAATAAACATTATCATTCAATAGAAGAAAAATGAAATTATAACTTTCTATACTGAATTCAACGAGAAACATTTCATATATCAATCAAACTTAATCTTTAGTTTCAATATGATTATTTATTAATGTTAGACAATAATAATAATAATATATTCTAAGAACTGTTCTTACTCATCTATCAATTTCGGATGTGATTACGAAAAGAAAACTTATTAATTATCAAAGTTTAACTTTACTTTTTTTTTCTGATATACAATTCTGTACATTAATGTACTGAGCAAATATCTCTATATTAATTTAAACCAAACAAAAACGATGTTTCACTATGCCTAAAATCATGTTCAAACAATAATATTTTCCCAATTGGCTTGTTTGGAAAAAAAACAGTTGATCAGTTTGATTTTTTTGTTTGTATTCGGATTTTAATTTTCAATAAATATAAATGCATATTAGGAAACAAAAAAGAATCTATGAGTTATCTATAAAATCTTTACAGACAATAGTTAATCTCTCTCATTCAATTTCATGTGAAGTATCGTCTTGTACAAACTCAAGCTCACTTTACTTATCAATTGAAGCAATTAACACACATCATCTTTTCTTTTTACATCAGCTAACGACTGTTCTTATGATGTAATTATTATGTTCTATATGGAAACTTATATGAATAAGATAAAAATTAATCATGTAATATTATCATCAATATGTTTTGTTTTTTTTTGTCTATTAGAATATGTCAACTATGAAGTTTTTCTTCAAAATTCATATTAAATAAATTAGTTGATTATGGTATCTTAAAGTCTATTCTTTCTTTCTTTTTTTTTTTATTCTTATTTTACCATTATATTAATTAATAAAAGAATAGAGTAAAATACTTCCTGTAAAATTTCGAATTTATTGACCTGTAAAAATTACTTTATATTAGTCAAGTGAATCGATTGTTATCTTTTTCTTTTGTCTTTCTTTTCATTTGTTCAGGTCATACACAAAACACATATGCAATTCAGATCGATAAAACGACTGTTTGCTTTCTATTCATCATCTTTTCTTTTTTTTTTCTATCACATTGTTAATAATCTATCCTTCAATGATGATTATTCTTTCTCGTTCCCAATATTTCATCATATCAAATAACTACACGTGTTCTAAAATGTATATTTGTCTATATGAATAATATTATAATAACTTAAAATAAAATGTATATATAAATATGTATTCATTAATATTGACTAATAGGAAGAAAAACTTAATATTACATATGCGAAAACTGTTCATGAGGCTAAATACATAATCGGCATTCATAAGATAGAAAACAAAAAAAAGTCTATCCATTTAATCGTCGTTATCATCTTTCAGTGACATTTTGTCTAGTTTGTATACGACTCCAGGCAACCTATGCTTGATTTCTATCATCATAAGCAACCTCCCGCTATTATTAACATCGGAAGCGCTATACGTCTCAAATGTTAGGCGATTACATATGTGTATATGTCGAAACAAACGGTGTTATAAATAATTACAGCAATTATCATAGACGTATATATATATCGATTAAAACAAACTGCTTTGTCAAATCAATGTAATAATAGAAGCATTTAAATAATCGTTTGAAATCTGCCTTGACACAGTTGAGTCAAGCGTATAAAAATCGATTTATAAATTACATGAATACAACAAAAAAAAAGAAAAAAGCAGAAAAAGGAAAAGAAACATAAAGGTAAATTGTCAAGTAATAAGTCAAGTTTGATTTACAAGAAAAAATTTTACTACTAGTAAGTAAATATTAATAATTATATGTTATGATAAGACAAACTCATCAAATACTAATAAATTTTAAAAATTAATCTATCTTCGAAAATATTGCATGTTATGTCGCGACGATGAGATAGAATCCAATTGACTACAAACTTTAATGATCTAATAGCACGCTATGCCAGTAGTACTACTGTCATATGCACTCTTGAGATATTTGAGAAGAGAAAAAAAAAATATAAAATAAGTGTATATATGTGCCACTCGAACATCAATGATTGAACAGCACAGTAGGGCAGCCAAAAGAAAGAGAGATGAGAGAACGGAAGAAGAAGAATAAGGAGAAGCTATGTTAAAAAAAAATCATCTTCCTTTGCAATGTCAGTCATTCTATTAAGATACAATAGAAATATGAATATACATATATATTCTAAAATAAGCAAATGCATGTCTTAGATGTAGTTACAATTTAATAGTAAATATACATGCAATTGTCTTTGCGCAATCGATTGAATGTTGTGAAACAAGAAAGTAAGTTTGCTTGAATAGAAATTTTGAACATATGTGCTTTATTCTTTTGTTGTCAAAAATAATTGTCAGTAGAAGAAAGAAGAAGGTATTATTAATAAAAGCTATACATTGCTACTTTTTTTTTTTTTTTTTCTTTTATAATTTTCTTTTAAGCGGATCAAATTAATTAGAAAAAGAAAGAGGTCAAGTGGAATATGATAGTAAATAAGTTTGAACAGGTGAACTCATTAGATTATTTGTGTGATGTTTCGTATAGTGAAAGGTGATGAAGCGTATTTGTCTAATTTGAATAGATCGGTATTTTTTTCTCTAGTAATGTTTAAATATGATAGAAGTGGAGAAGAAGTATGATTATTTGAAGAAAAAAAAAAAAAGAAATATGTAAGTAGTTTGATGTACAATGAACAATCAGCTGTTTTAGTTTTGTATATGTTTAGAATTTTTAATCATTCTTCTTATTTATTTAACATAAAATCTTATTTACAAGGTCATTATTGACATATTTGATGGTGCAACAAGTTTGATTAAGAAAGAAGTAGATGTAGAATCTTTTTCTTTTCAGAATAGAATATATATATGTATATACCCTTGAGTGTTTATGTTCGTGGTTCTTTTTTTTTTGTTCTTGTCACATTAAATCATTGAAAAATTTAGATGTGTTGTCTATATTATCGTTTTTTATTGAAATATATGCTGTATCTTTTGTTTATATATTGAGCACACGTCGTTTATAAGTGTAGCCTTATAAAAGTTAGTATAACAGTCATCATTTGCCTTGCCTACTTATAATTGAAAAGTTTCAACTTAATTTATCTTATTTCAATTGTTGTGAATGAGCTTTTTACATTAAAAGGAAAAAGTGAATGGTCATTTAATGACATCGGGCAAGTTGACATATACATATAGTATATCACTATGAAGAAAAAATTGAGGTCAAGCAGATGGCTAAGACGGAAATTGTCGTTATTATTTCAGTTTTTTTTTTTTGAAAACGAATAATTATTGGTAAAGTGTCAAAAAAAAAGTATAATCATAACTTCAAAAGAATGAACAGATCTTTTGAGATTAATTATCAATACAACTGTGGTCACGCTTTATACTTGCATTCGAAATTGAGCTGAATATATATATATATATATCTACACGTTTTTTTCTCATTTCTTCTATGTTAGATGAAGACAACTATTCAAGAGGGAATTATCTTCGTTTCACTTCATTTCTCTATTTGCTCATTTCATCTCTTATGTTGATGTTTTTATGTTAATCATCATATACATACATATTTATTGACAGCAAGTTTGCTTCTTTTATCATAGAGTCTGATGAAATACCATCCGTTCACAATCATAAGCATCATTTATATCGTCTAGCAGTATAACAGAATACATAAAAAAAAAAAATGTAAGCTTTTCTTAAATGAGATTCACTAACTGTTTCTATCATTAGTATTAAAGAAAATAGATAAAACTTTGAACGTCCGACATATATATCTTTAACATTGATTGGATTGTATTGATAAGATAGAAAGAGTAAGGCAATGTGAATCAAGGTCACTTGACGCTTCTCTCTGATCCGTTCCATCGATTAGTATCATTGACTTAAGTATTCATGATGCAATCGAATACTATCGACAAGGTGTCTTCTTCTAACTTTTTTTTAATTGTCGACATAGCAAAGTAACATTACTATTTTAGATATATATATATATATTAATAAAAATCTTTTCATCATCATCATCTTTCTTGGTTATTACGTAAGGCTATTTGAATTAATTTATATAGTGCTATTGTGTTTGTATGTAGACGACATACAAGCATGCAGCGTACATAATTATTTTATTATAAGAGAATGTCGAGCACTTCTATTATTCAAATACATTCAAAGAGTATATTTTTTTATTTGTATATACACAATATCAATTTTATATATAGATATATTTTCAGATGATGTTTATATTATTCATTATATTTCTTATCCATAAAAGTCAATCATTAGAATGGAATTGTACTGAAATAAAACATTATCTTTTTTCGAATGATCAAATATATGAACAGTGTACAATAACAATTGAATATATATCATCTGAACAACAACAACAAAAACAAATATGTATAACACATAGTTTATCAATAAAAACACTTCCATCAATATCATTTTTATCAAATTATAAAATGCATACATTTAAAATAAATTCATGTCAATTATTAACATTAAATCAATTACCATTTTTATTACCATCATCAGTTGAATATCTTGATTTAAGTTATAATTTATTAACAACATTTACTTTATCATTTCCATTACCATTATATCTTAAATATTTACGTCTTGATAATAATCCAAATTTAATTAATATTAATTTTGGTCATAATCATATACAAGAACAATTAATTGGTCTTAGTCTTCGTCATAATAAACATATAAAATTAACATCATTACCATTATATTTACAACAACTTGATTTAACTAATTGTAATTTATTACAATCATCATCAATATTATTATTATTAAAAACATTAACAAAATTAACTCATTTATCATTAGCTAATAATCAATTAAAACAATTACCTATATTTAATAATAATATACAACTTGAATATCTTAATTTATCAAATAATTATTTAACATTTATTAATAATGAATGGTTACATAAATCATTAAAAATATTTGATCTTAAATTTAATCAAATAGAATCACTTGAATTTTTTCATGAATTATTAAAAATAAATCGAACATTAAAAGACTATAATTATAATCAAGTAAGTATGAATATTTATTAATTTTCTATTAAAAAAAAAATCAATATGACATAATTTTGTTATTATATTTAATGAAATTCAATATGAAAAAAAAAGAAAATAAAATTATCTATTTTTATTAATAACATTTAAGATGATCTAGAAAACTAAATTTATATAATTTTATTCATGATGAAATCTAATTAATTCATATCTCTCTTATATATATTAAGCATTCAAAGTGATTATCTTTAGTATCATATATTTTGTAAGATGTTTATATTGTATAGGTCAAGTAATATAATTTAATACAGCATTTTGTTTTTATCGAAGGATTTTTCATCCAAGAAAACTTTTTCATTTTATTCAACAACACAACAAAAAAAAATGACATTTTTCTTAGCTATTATGACTTTATAATATTATTCATCTTAACCCTGAAACGCCCCCCTTTCGGACTACCACTTGTTGACTACCTGGGGTCCATACGGACCTCAGCCTGATAAAATAGAAACAATATACTACATTACCATTGTTTTGTAACAGAACTATAATGGTTCTAAAGGAGACTTATGTTTAAGAAGAACAAACAGAACAGCAGTTAATTTGAATGCTATTTATTCAATCTTTTTTTACGTTGTTCTCGTTCCTAGCATGATTTCTTTTTTTCTTAGAACTGAAATTTCGGCAATATGCAATGTAGCTGGAAACTAATTGTTCCTGAAGTAACGCTCTATTTTTACAGCATTGGTCTTATTGATTGTTGTTACTAGCATACTCTACTAGATGTCCCTAAAGTGTCCATGTAAGGACAAGACCCTATCTAAGGCTACAATTACAAAACATTAAAAAGAATTTCACTGGGGTCCGGGTGGACCCCAAGTGGGCAACAAGCGTTCGCACGTACTTCGAGATAGTTTATTACGTAAACAACTAGTTATGACGAACGGCTGACGTCAGCGGCATATACTACAAATCTTCGCTAGAGCATATCTAGAGAGGCAGGATTTGATCTGACGTTGTGTGTGAATAACACTTAAATGAAATTGGTTGGGGTCTAGGCGAACCTCAGGTGGGCGTGTCAGAGTTAAATTGAATATTTTATTAGTTTATAATTAAAAACATCAATGATAATTTTCTTAAGTAGAAAAATGATTTTGCTTTCTTTTTTTTTTCTCCTAGACAATGAATAATAATAATAATATTCTTCAACTTTCTTTACATGGTAATCCATTAATATGTGATTGTTGGTTTGGTTCTATAGTTGATTCATCTTTAATTAATATTACTGATTTATCTTTACTTCAATGTAATTCTCATTCAATTATGAATATATCTCAAAATAATTTTCTATGTTCATATTCTCAATATTGTTCATTAGATTGTTCTTGTTGTGATTTTGAAGCATGTGATTGTCATTCTATATGTCCTTCTGAATGTTTATGTTTACATAATAGTTTATGGTCAAATCATATTGTTCAATGTCAACAAAAAAAATTATCTAATATACATATTCATTTACCTGAAACAATAACTGAACTTAATTATGAAGAAAATAATATTGAACAATTACAATCATTTATATTTATTGGTAAAAATTTATTAACGAAATTAAATTTAGCAAAAAATAATATAAAAAATTTAACAAATGATATTTTTTGTGGTGCATCAAATTTATATGAAATAAATCTTAGTTATAATAAAAATTTAATAATAAAATTATCAAATATTAATATATTATTTTCATGTTTAAAATATTTACAATATATTATTTTATCAAAAGAACAAATTAATAAAGATGAAGAAATTATTAATATTGGATGGATAATAGAATCAAATAATGATATAATTCGTCTTATACGTATAAATGAAAAATTATCTTTATCAACATATAATATTTATACAATTCCAATATCTACAAATATTTATCCATTAATTCAATCTGAAATACAATCAACAACAAGTTTTTCTATTTATCATCAACAATCATTGATTTCATCAAATTTTATACAACATAATCAAACATTCATTATAATTATATTTTTTCTTTTATTATTTCTTTTACTTTTTCTATTATTCCTTATATTATTAGCTATTTGTCGACGAAAATTTCGTCATCATTTAAAAACTGAACTTCAACGTCAACGATCTCATCATTATTATTATCATACAAATTTACATCAATCATCAATTCAAATTCCTAATAGTAATGGAACTAATGGAGTTAATGATAGTGTTTATGAACAATTACCATCTTTATCATCTGATAGTGAACAACCATTTTTATATAATGAAAAAAAATTAACTAATATTAATGCTCCAGCTTTACCACCATATCCACCTGCATTTCGTCGATATCATTGTTGTCATTCAATGAATTCACATGATTATCAATATGGTAGAAATACTTCAACAACAACATCAGCGGCAGCAGCATGTTATTCATCATTAAATTTACAACAACATCCATGTTCAACAGTTCTAGTCTTAAGAAATCCATCATTGTATAGAAATCATCATGAATATTCATGTGAATTACAACAATGTTTAGTTTCAAATCAACAAGAAAAAAATTCAATGATTTGTTGTAATAATCAAACAAGTTTTATACCAACAATTCTTTGTCAATGTAATGATCATATACAGAATATTGACACATGTATCTATCCTAATGTACACAAATAATGTTTTGTTAAAAAAAAGAATATGTATTAATAAAAAAAAAAAGATTGGTGTTTTTAATTGAAACATATTTGTGATATTTCACAAGAGAAGTTTTTCAACTGATAAATCAGATATAAGTCGAGTTTATGTACATTATATTCAATTGTAATCTTGAAAAAGAGTTAAAATTATTCAGTGTTAAGATGGTGCAAAGAGCGTCAATCAACGAAATGTCGATACCGACACACGATTGATGATAAAAGCATTTCAATGTCGATTGAAGTAGTACATTTTGAGTTTTACATCTCACTTGAAATTCTGGCACTGTAAATAGAAGCGATGCATCAAGTGAAAATACTTCATTCAGAATGATCGTCCGTGATTGATTGTAGATACCAACAAGATAAAAACAATCGCTCGTACGAATCCATCGGCATGTTTCATTCGACATAAATGACCATTGAGTCAGATCAGATTCACCTATTGCAGATAGATACCAGAAAAAGTGATATAAGTGTCACGGCCAGGAACACTGCTACTATAAAAATTCGTTCGTAATGCACATACGAAGCGATGTCCCTCGACGATTGATGAAAAAAACCGATTATATGTATGAAAATTTTCAAGCGTAGTTTTGTTGACAGGCGTGACTGTATAAGTATTGAAGATGATATGTGGCACAGTATATGGTGAATAAAATGGTGTTACAGCAAACTCATTTAGATTATCCAATACGGCTTGGCGTTATGTCTCACAGAGAATAGACAAGACTTGAAATTTTGCAAAGATCATTAGATGAAAGTCGAGAGGATAGTAATTGCTTGTATTTACATTGAACAGAGATGAAAACCATTTTTCATTGACGAAATCGCTCGAACAAGCTTGATGGAATTGAGAAGTGAACGAAAAAATCGTTTATAAGAAATAAATATTTGAGAGTAGCAACAGATAGGTTTAGTTGTGAGACTATCGACGAAATTCTCAAAATCACGTATAGAGGGCGATCAAACAGTGATTAGACGAGTTTGAGAATTAATATCAGTAAATGAGAGCATCAGAAAGATGTGTGTAAACAAGAGTTGATCAGCCAAAGTCAATTCATTGTGTCTTCGCGGATATTTCAATTATTGATGAAGTATATACCAGTATTAATTTCGATGATTATTGATCTAGAATAGTTTTTCTTAACTGCACTAAGCATAACTTGAATATGTATTGAATGGACGAGAATTTGAGCATAAAATTCTGCTCGTCTGATGGCTTCAGACTCTGTAGCTGTGATCAACATCAGTTAATAGTCTATTTCTTTTCAATTGTGCATAAAAGCAACTAGTAATGAGAACTCTTCTCTGTTATAGTTATTAACCATTACATTTCGATTCTCGTCTCTTGTCCATAGTGTTGACTTAGACGATGTGAGTTTTTCTTTCTCTTTTCCTGTGTGACTAGTATATGAGCGTATGTTTGTAAGTTCGAAATACGACTGAAGTAATGAAGTAACTCAATAAACATCATATCGATAGTAGTGATATAGCTAATCCTCTAGTTCATTACATTCTTTCATTTTGTAATAGAAATTTTTTGCTTGAATAATATTCACTTACTGACTTCTGTATTGCGCTTGAAATGTTCTCAAGGCATTGCGTTTATTCTTATAGTAGATGAGAATAAGTTAGATTTTAAAAACTCCTATACTTTCCAGAAAACTATTACTTTTCTTTGCAAGTCTATTCTATTCTGATCTATAGATTACTAACAAAAAAACCGTTGGAAAATCTTGAAATTTCAATATTATTTTATCATCTGTCGAAGATAATCAACCTGACCAATTATTTTTTAATTCAGAGCAGGCTAAATATGAGTTACTTTTGTTCGCAAGTAACCGTTCGTAATTCATGTACAGTAAATTTTCTTCGAATGTTATTATCTGCAATTACTGATTTCGTTTTTATTTTGTCAGAAATCATTACTGTTTCTTGTTAGAAAGTGCCACGTATATTGCAGGTAGATTTTTCAAACAAAATATTAATCAAGTCATACATATAATCAGCTCATTAAAATGTAAAAACAAAACATGGATGAACGCATTTTATTTTTAAACTTAACAACTGACTAGTAATAAGATACGTGTAATTTTAAAATGGAGTAAACTTTATTTTTTTGATATTTTTACATGACTCGATACAATTCGTCGAGCTCTACTAATCTGTAAATATTAAACATTGTCTAAACCGTTATCTTGAGATAAAAATTTTAAACGAGTTATAAAATATTAAAAAAAACTCGTATTTTTCTATGAGAAAAAAAACACTCAATCTTTCAGAAAATTGAACTTGCCTCATTTTTCTCAGTACTTATATGTTTGAAAATAATAACTGTTGAACACAAGAAGGCATCTACCAAGGATATCACTCTTCTAATGAAACAACCCTGAACACGTAGCCACACACAACACCTACACCAGCAGTCTAGAGTCATCATTTACGATTGTAGTACACGACCAGCGTAAACAGTTGCCGTTTTCCATCGTAACTGATTTCTGTATGGTTGTGTACGAGCGAGCATGACTGACTTGGAATCGTTCCTATGACGAATAAAAAGGACTACAGTATTGTAATTTTTTCGTCTTGGCTGTGAGAGTATTCGACAAGAACTTTTTGAATCATGTCGTTTCGCTTAGAAAAATTGCTAACATTGCAGCTCTATACGAATAGTGTCGCATTTGACAGTGCTGCAAGAAAGAAACACACTCTTCTCATAACAATCATCGTTGCTGTCAACTCTATGCATTGATTATAGATCTTTTAGAGTATTTTTGTGACTTGTGGTGCGTTTCTAAACAAAACAGTAGCGATCATAAGGATTTTCAGCAGTTCCGTCAAGCTTTTTCTACAATAACAAGACGTTTGCCATCAATTTCTTGAACAATATTCCCTAAGCTTAGGCCAAAAACTGAAGAACCGATCGTACTTAAGCAATATCTTATGTTTTCTAGATGAATTGTTTATTCCACGAGGATCAGCACAACGCTTCTCTTTACATGAAACTAAATTTATCAATGTCAACTCATGCTTTTGGCGTCGATAATGGAAAGATACTTGTACGTCCAGTTCAAAAACGAGGCTGTTCCAAATGCTATTGTCTATACACACAATAATTCGAAATTTCAATTATTCAACGATGAACGCTCCTACGAAAAACTCGTTTAGTTTGATCAATCAGTGCCGCGGGAAACAAGACAAGCCGTAGTTTTTTCTGCATTTCGTTGCTTCTCTCGTAGTTGATGTTTTCAGCGAAACTATCAATCAAGACTTCGATGGCTCGGCTATCAGACAATGTTGGCAATAGTTCAAACATGTTGCTTTATCATTGGAACCGATCGCATTGATGGCCTTTGCTGGAGAAAATGGCATTGGCCCTGGCCAAAGTTCCTGGGTTGTTTTCTCTCGATTTCAATAATTAACTCATTCTGTTTATTGTTTCTATTTATCGTTACCCATTGTTTTTGTTTCGATGAAATCAAGATTGAGCCGTGTGAGTAAACTCGTGGCAATGAACGAGACCAATAATCACATTCAAGATCTATAAAATGTAGACCTACATCGATATATTCACTGGAATTTTTACATCAGATGAACAGTCGTGCAAGGAACTCTGCGGCCCAAATATGTTGTATATGCACAGACAAGGTTACTTAGTTTAGATACGAGCATTGAAAAGTTATTTGAAGACATCAAGGTTGACATCCGCAGCTTCTATGAATAGATATAATTCATCATTGATGGCAATCATTGCTTTTACTTTCCATCCGATGCTTCTATCTTAAATTTCATAAAGTAATAAAACAGTTATAGCTCTTTTTCACCATATGCTACCTATTGCAAAAGAATTTCTAACAGAATAATTGAATAGTTTTACATTATCTCACGAAGTTTTTTGCGATTGCTTATGACATAGTATTCTGTTTAGCAATGTATGTCTTCTTGATGCCCATTGCTTGACTAAACTATGGACTGATCTGCTTGAACACTTGTATGAAGATCTACAAATCGATGAAATCGTCCGTAATGGTCATGATATTATCAACATGAGTCAGGCGTGGAGGTCAAACTTAATATGCTGATCTGTTACTTTACAGAAAAAGTTGTTGCTCTAGATAATTTTGCTACGCTGTCTTGAGGGTATGTGTATAAGTCTGGCATGTGGGAGTGGACCAATTTCCTTACCTGCACTCTCACCAATATACCATTCACATCCGCATTCAAACAACACCCATGCCTCACACTTGTTCACACCCTCAAAACAAAAGCTTTAAAATTTAAAAATTTCGAAGGTATCTCAGAATTCAAAAATTTTCTTTCCTCCTTACAATACCAGAATATCTTTCGCAATGCATGAAGCTAATGGAAACGACTCCCACTTTCTCATACGAACACACATTAACGATCGTGTTTGGAAAAACTTGATGCCGCCCATGACATCTTGTCTTAGAAGGCTCTTTAAGAAAATAGTTTACATATGTTTACACACTTTCAAGTGTTAGGAGTAGTCATGTTTTTTTACCTGTGTTATGGGAAACTTGATCTACCTTCTTATCTCACCACTCTTCATTTATCTTTCGATCCTTCCACATAGAAAATAAGCTGTAGAAGAGACACATCACATGTGTTTGCAATCTAGTGGTTGCAATGCACAAATTAAATATTGTAATGGCCTAGAAGTTGATAGTTCTTTTGTTTTGCCTTCTCTTTCTCTTAATATGATAAGAAGTATAAAGATAATAACGATGAGATGTATAGATATTCTTCGTTTGTTTGATATAAAAAAAGCACAGTCAAATAACAAATTATTAGTACACTACAAGTCTTTCGCATATGAACAACATAACGTTAAAAAGACCGATAATAAAAACTGAATTACCTGGTCCCAAATCAAAAACAATAATTGAAGAGGATACAAAATATGTAACACCATCATTTATTCGTTATCCATACAAGCTTGCTATTGAAAGAGCTTACGGCGTTTGGATTGAAGATACTGACGGTAATGTATTTATAGACTGTAATTCAGGCTTTGCCGTTTGTTCTACTGGCCATTGTCATCCGGAAGTTGTTGAAGCAATTACAAAACAAGCCCAAACATTGATTCATATGTGTGGAACAACTTATTATTATCGTCAAATGCCCGATTTAGCTAAGAAACTCGATGAATTAGTTCCAATCAAAGCACCAACACGAACCTATTTTGCTACTTCGGGTGCTGAAGCAGTTGAAGCAGCACTAAAACTTGCTATGTATTATACAAAACGGCAAAGATTCATTTCATTTGTGGGCTCATTTCACGGACGAAGTCTCGCTACACTTTCATTAACGGCATCGAAAAAAATTCACCAAGTTGGTTATATGCGTCGCTTATTAGATACTGTTCATGTACCATATCCAAAAAGACTAAATTCACCATTCGGAAATCTACCCGATGATGAAAGTGCATCTCGAGCAACAATAAATTGGATTGAAAATTTTATTTTTAAATCAACGACACCAGCTGAAGATGTTGCTGCAATTGTTGTTGAACCTATACAAGGCGAAGGTGGCTATTTTCCATCACCACCTAGCTTCTTGCCAGAACTTCGACGTATATGTAACGAAAATGGCATACTTTTAATTGTTGATGAAGTTCACAGTGGAATGGGACGAACAGGGAAAATGTTTGCTACTGAATATTATGATGTTGAACCGGATATTATCTGTGCATCGAAAGGTATTGGTTCGGGTTTACCAATTGGTGTTTGTATCGCTCGTGCAGATATCATGACTTGGCCACGAGGGTCACATGCATCGACATTCAGCGGAAGTCCAATATGCCTTGCAGCGGCATTAAAAACAATTGAATTATTGGAAAATGGTCTGGTTGAAAATGCACGCATTGTTGGAAATTATTTGAAAGATGGATTAGCTAAGTTTCTCGACAAATATGATTGTATTGGAGATGTTCGAGGTCTCGGCTTAATGGTTGGTGTAGAAATTGTTGAATCAAAACAAACAATGAAAAATGCACCTGAACTACGCGATAAGATCGAACTCGAGTGTTACAAACGAGGTTTACTTATATTTGGTGGTGGTGGCATCAGTGTTATTCGATTTGCACCACCATTAATATTGACAAAAGAAAATGTTGATGTTGTTCTAGAAATCTTTGATGAAGCAGTAAGCGCTGCGATATCCAATTAGTTCATGAGCTGTTTATTTAGTTTAATCATATACTTATAAGTGTAGTGAATTTTCTGAATTCAATTTTTCAAAAAGAATTATTATGTTTTTTTTTCTGTGTTGTTCAAGCTATGATCATGTACTTGGAAGCATATTTTCGATGTTCGATCAATAAAACAATTGTTCTATAAAAAATATGACAAACACAAAGACAAATCAATTATCTCTACTGCTGAGGGAATCTTTTCAGATATCTCCATCCGATTTCGATGATACTTTTGCCTATAAACATTTTATAGTACCTTAGAAAAGATTCCTACAGGAATTGTGTTTCTATTTTTTTTCTTCACAAGTTATGAAAATTCCAATGTGCTCCTATAGTAAATAAAATACAGGATGAGCCATAAATAGTGCTATCAAAAAAAAAAATATCCGCATTAGTGCAATCAAATGGGCTCAATTTTTAGTTTTTCATAAGAATAAGGTAAGTAAATACAACTGTTAAATATTTATTGTTGTTGTGATGAAAGTAATTTTATCTGTTATCAAATAAAAAAAGTACTTGTATGTGCGTTTCATAGATAATTTTCAACTTTTATCTAACGAGGAAAGGTCCCTGGGTGTGACCCGCGGGTTTCAACGAAACCTACATAGGTTTGTCAAGTCTAGTGTTGATAGCTCATCTATAGATAAATTAGCGGCCCAGACTGAACCGATACAAAAATTTGAAGTTAAAATAGTTTTTGTCTCGGACCCTGAGGGGACCACAGTCGTTTTTTTGACTAAAACAAACTTGCAAAAGAAATTTTGAAATATTGATGATTCGATTCATTTTTCGACACTGATTCCAAATATGCGATTCGTTTTAACTTACATTGTACTTTGATGATCGAAATTTTTAGAGCATTAGTTAAAAACCTATAAAATCGTTTCTTAATAATAATTTTCTAGGAAGTTCGTAGGTGAAAAATATTTTAGGATCTCAAAAAATATACAATTCTGTAGCATTTCAACAACGATATAGATTGCGATACGGAGAATCCAATAAATTGAATAATGTGATTCTGTATGGATTAACTAGTACAGTAGAATTTTCAACTTCTGTACCATTGATCGTCAATCGAATGACAAATGCGATAAAACAATAAACATCTTTTTCGATAGACTTTTTTTTAAATGAATCGATGTAGAATTCAATGTTCTATTCGATGAAGTATAACATTCGTGTGTGTAGTATAAGAGTCGATTCAGAAATCACTCAATCTATATCGATTAGTGGAGAAAAAGCAGTTGAAATAGAAAAAATAACGAGGATGCATTATAGCAAAAGCGAGAATAAAGAGGATATCAGTCGTAAGATAATTACTATTACATACATATTTTCTGTGTGTTGACATGGGATGCTTTTATAAACAGTAGTAACGAAATACACGTTAAAAGACAGAAACAATAGAAATCTTTTCTATAGAGATGCACGCATTCAACAAGAAAAATGTGCGTATATATTTTCACGAAAAGTTTAGTTTTTTCGTTCTATTGTTGTGTCACTTTGCTTCCTTCCTAGAAAATTATTATTAAGAAAAGATTTTATACGTTTTTAAACTAATGCTCTACAGATTCCAATCATCAAAGTACAATGTAAGTTAAAACGAATCGCAAGTTTGGAATCAGTGTCGAAAAGCGAATCGAATCATCAATATTTCAAAATTTCTTTTGCAAGTTTGTTTTAGTCAAAAACACGCCTGTGGTCTCCCCAGGGTCCGAGACAAAAACTATTTTTACTTCAAATTTTTTTATCAGTTCAGTCTGGGCCACTAATTCATCTATAGATGAACTATCAACACTAAACTTGACAAACCTATGTAGGTTTCGTTGAAATCCGCAGGTCACACCCAAGGACCTTCCCTCGTAAGATGAGGCCGCTGTTGACTATAGAATTAGGTCGATGTGCAATTTCCCAGATGGTTTGATCGCGATACTTGTCTGTAATAGTACTTTGAACGACCGTATTGGTTGTATAATCGGCATTCACAGTTGCCTAAGAAATAAAGCCATCATCTATGCTGAACACATTGAAGCAAAAAAGTGAGCTTTAAGCACATAATTAGAATATAAGCAGTGCCTATTGAGAATGACAGATATTCAATGCGTCTCTTGTATACAATAATAGTAAACTGTCAGTTCATGGTGCTATGTAAATATTCAAAGCAATATTATCACAATACGTAGTTATAAGCTTCTCTGATGATGTGAAATTACTATCAAATCGTCTTTTAAATATGATTTCAATGTCTATGAGAGTTGTAGCCATTTTACCATTCGAAAATAGATCTTTGTATATTGAAAAGACTGGTTCTTGATAAACCAATGACGTTGAATCACAGAATTCATTTTCAATTGAACGAGCTAAAAATTAAACGAGAAAAGGCACTTCTCGTCGTTCAATAAACTCTGCTGGGTTCGACGTGTCTTTATAGTCTACCGTTAACACTCAACTACATGCATTGGTATCGATCGTTGGTTCATATAACATGAACCTTATGGGCACATGCAACTCAAACATATAAAAAAACCATTCACCATCATACGATTGAGGCTTGTCTTCACTCTCTACTTGTTACTTGATGACATATGTAATATAAAATGTAAAATCTGACTTGTGATATAACATTTGATCGAGATTCTCATCGAGCTATTAACAATATGAGCAGCAATTATAATGGGTTTTAAACTCACTGAGCAGATATTCTATGTATGGATCCAATATTTTTGAATGTGTAAGTAGACCCTGGACAGTTCCATATCAGTTCCGTTTTTGAGAACTGTTCAAACAGTTCTTTGATAGGAACTGATCTGTCCAACCAGTTCTTTTAAAAGAACTGATCTGTGCCTACCAGTTCTTTGATAGGAACTGGTCCGCCCAACCAGTTCTTTGATAGGAACTGATCTGTCCAACCAGTTCTTTGATAGGAACTGATCTGTGCCTACCAGTTCTTTGA